CGCGTTTGAATTCTGATCATGCTTATTAGGTTCGATGTCTACCTAGGGCACATTTAAAGGGAATTTCTTAGTTGTGTGTATGAATTTCTCCGTAAATGATGGAGGGCTTACCGACGGGTATTCACATGTATCTGCAAGACTACTAGTAGAATGACACCCGTGCTTTCCCTTGTTGACTCATGAATGAAAGGGTACTGATGTTATATCAGTCCCAATTGGGACTTTTTTGCCTTCTTTGTCAATTACAAGTCATGGGCAAATATTTCATGAACACATTTGAGATAAAAATGAAAAAGTGTAAGGATATTAAGAAACTGATTTAAGATTCAAATATGTAAAAATTATGGACCACTAGAAGCACTGGGTCCTAGCTTTTACGCAAAACAAGAAGTCAAATAAGGAGTTTTTTGTTTTATAGGAGCCGATTTGATAGAGAGAATGCATGTATGAATAAATTAATCCAAGTCTGCAAATATCTAATATTTTGGTGTATTGAGAAAAAATCCATTGCGCTGTGAAGGAGTTGAAAGTGACCCACTGCGTTCGAGATTTTTCTTTGTCTGGTAAAGTCTGTCAGTTTGATGAAAGTACTTTGGCAATGTATGATAACTATATGTGTTTAATTGTAGGACCTACCAGTGTGGTAAGGAACTAGAAGAACACACTCTTAACATTATTTTAAAAATCGTTAAAGCCACAAAACTGGCACTCTTTCATCTTCATAAACTCTTATTGACAAAGTTACAAAGTTACAAAATATTATTTTAAGAACAATTTTGTAAAATTCAGGGAGCTTGACATTCAAACAGCGTTTAGTTGATGGTCATTTTTGCTCGTTCCACGGTTTTATCTGTATTTTATTAATGTTAAAATAGCTGAAACAGGACGGCATACAATATCCTTGCTTTGTCCACTCCCCAGGGTCCGCTTTACTTGTTTCCAGCGGATGGTCAACTCGTACATAATTTAATTATACAGTATACCGCCGGTTTAGCAGCCCATCAATTATTTGATAAAAGAGGTGAGGAGTAGGCACACCTAATTGAATGGTAAATTTTCATCAGTCCTAGGATCGCGTCTTGCTATCACTAACATGTTTTCGTTTGAAATGAAATAATTAACAATTAAGACCAAACTTGTAATAAACACATTTTCTTGGAGAAAAGGGATATATGTGTGGAACAAGGTGGCTGAATACAAAATATTTACGGAATTCGAACATCGATTCGAAGACCCAAATAAGTGAAAATGGAAAACAGAAAGAATATGACGAATTACACTTATATACAAGAAAACATTCTATACTAATCGGTGACTGATTAATGACCATTTGGCGTTTAAATATAGGCCTATGGTTTTGTTGCTACCTATAAACCTAAAATCGCTTGAGGGGACTTGATAACAATTTGACAATATTTGACAATATTTTTGAATTTCCAAGCCTCTTTTCAGGGAACACGGGTGCACATTTTTTAAGAAACACACAAGTTATCCAGGTACTTGTAGGCCCAGCAATTTACCGACAATTTCGTTGAAACTGATGAATTTGTTTGAATAAACCTTTCTGTGATATATGATCTTCTTCGCAAAGAAAAGTAAAAAAAGGCGTCCTTTGTGATTGAAAATCTCTCGATGTCTCGTTTAATTTATTCTGTAAAGATGTTCAGAACAGTAGGCCTACACAAACGGAATTCAGACTCCGAAATAAAAATCTAAAAAAGTCAAAATTAACGAAATATTTTCACAGGCGTAATAGTAATGGAATAAAAGACCACATTTACAACTAGAAGAGAATAAATAAAAAAACTCTCAAGTAGTAGTTTGAAATTTTAAAACAATTTAGAAATTTTAGATTTTTTTATATGAGTGTGTTAGAGGCGCCAGTTTGTGTCACAATCCATCTCTAACGTGTTGCGAGCAGAAAATTTAATTTGGGATCTAAATTTACACCAGGACCCACCAAATATTTGATGGATCCTAACTTAACAGCACGAAGAGTGATTTTAAATTATACAATTTTTATAAATTATATAATTTTTAAAAAATCTATGCTAAATGATCACTTTTCCTTGAAAAAAATTATCTATTGAAACAACCAAAATTTCAAACATGCATAACTGTTAAACAATGACAATAAAAAAATCGCCCAAAAAGAAAATTTCAGAACAGTCCTAGTCTGGCAACAAAGGACATTTGGCTTTCCATGACACGCTTTCGCATTTTTTTTTTCGGAATTCCATCGCACCTAACGTCGGCTCTTCCATCTAATATCCCACCCCCTCCGCTACCAAACAAGATGGCCGCAGTAGAGCTAGTGATGTGATTACATGGCATTGGGCTGGAAAAGGCAGCAAAATGGATGGAAATACTTCAGACCACAGTACTTCGATAAGTGAAGCTGCTGTAGCATCTTGGCAACAATGTTGGGAGAATGAAATTAATTTAGGTAAGAGAAATTTGAGTTCATTGAACTGAAGAAACTTAACCGGTGACAAGAACCAACTACGGTGAGCAGTGCAATCTAAGAGAGTAAGAAGCTTTGTCGTTTTGAACTGGGGAAATAGAATTAAGTTCACTAAAATCGTTGAATTAATTCAGTCACATGTTGTTAGTATGTTTTGTATCGTTTGTGAGCATTTTTTTTACATTAAACTATCGCCGAATTCATGTCCTTAACTAACAGATTTGAACATCGGCGATTGTTTTTGTTATCATTGTTTTGCAATGTATAAGTTCGGTGCCGGTGAAGAAGTCAGTTATGTATGCTTATAATTTTCAGATCTAAGTACCAACATGATGTCACAACGTACCTCAATGATATGTCAAAAAAATGGTCATTAACATTGAACTTTCCAAATGTTTTTCACTATGTCCATTAAACTATGAGCACTAAGTGTTAATTTACACATTAGTTCAGTAGTTCCAAGTTGTCAGCATAAAAATAAGTAGATTTGATGTCCAGTGCCTATTAAAAGCTTCTGATTATATTCTTAAACTTGTTGAATAATATTGGTCAGTTCTTAGGATTTTGTATAAATATTGTGGGCTTGTAACTTAATATTACTGGTACCCAATGAAGAGGTAAGAAGTGATCATATTTTAATAAAAATGAATTAAATTAAATGTTGTAATTTGTCCAAGGACAACTACACTGTGGTATAAAAAGATGCTTTATTAAAAACAACCATGGCACTGAAAGAATTTGACAAACAAAAAAGGTTAGCTTAAATATCTTTTCAAACTCATTACAGCTTTACCATATGCAACCTTTGATAAGAAGGTCAAAGTTTGTTATTATAGGTTGTAGACTATACTAAAATATGAATATCTAAATGTTGTCTCTTGAATTGAATCATTTTCTGTTTAGCTGTCTTAACAGGGAGTGTTAGTAGTAACTCTGATTTTCAACAGGTGACAAACATATTGATCTCCGTAGTTTGATCGATTTATTGTGTTTATACAAAGTTTAAGTTAAATACCCCTTTGCAGTGACTGGAATGACTTGGCAATGCACAGGTTATTCTTAGTGTTCAAGAGATGTAGAAAAGCTTTTGTGGTGGTGGTGGTTGCCTGTATCTAACTCTGGTCATGATGATACCCAGTTAACAGGGAGATAATCACCCAGACAGCACAGAAAACAATCAACTGACACTATCTGCATCATAGTATTCCTTTCTGTGTGCATTTTAGACTATAATTTCACTCCCATATTTACTATTTGTTTAATGTTCAGAGATATTCAACCTAGAAATTGTAATGGCATTAGTCAACAAAGCTACTGTCACAGGTGAAAGTTCGAATTTATATTGTGGTTGAGTTGGTAATGAAACCCAGTTTGTTACTCCAACTACCTTTGGCATTCATGTGATCGGGTTCTATTTCATTACTGTTTAACCTATGTGAAAACAGGGTCTTATCTATTGTTTGCGGTGTTCAAATACTGGTTAAGGGCTGTTGAATTTTAGTATTGATGTGAGTTTAAAATGTAAACATTTAAAAAGCTCCACATATGTAAAATTGGAACTTGGTCACCTTGCAATGCAATTACGACAAGTTGGTAATTGCACTGAAGTCCACTGAAGATTTGTTCTGCAAGTGATCACACGACATTGTGAAACCTAGTATTCCTTACAGTCAGAGATTGCATGGGTATTTACACATGGACATTCTTGTCTTTAAAACCTGCTACCTGGCAGAGAAGAGATATTAAATTCTTCCTGTGCTTCCCTGACCAAGTGGACTGTTTGTTCCCATTACTATTGACCTCATGTAAGACATCTTTTCAAAGTCAGCAGGCCAGAAACTGCAAAAGTTGCACCACTAATAACTGCCTTTGTACTGAAAAGAAGAAGGGGCAGTGGACAGTTGTGAAATAGCTGGGTTGGTATTGCAGGAAAGTTTTGCACAATGCCCACGCAGTATGATGCCTGTAGCCTGCCTGGCTTTCTATGTAGTATGTATAAAGTCAGGCTCCTTGAGGATATTTATCAAGTTTCTCACAAATAAGGGAGGAAAGCAAGACCCGAGCACCTCGGGGAAATAATCAGACATCATTTAATAAACTGACTGGCTTGCAAAATCTGTCCATGGTTTGCTGTTGAATGGGTAAAGGATGGCTATTGAAGCTGGCTTTGTCCCTTGGCAAACAGAGAGGTACAATAGACTGAAGTGCTATTACTGAACCTGCTGTTGGGTCAGGCAGGTCTTCCATTTGCTTTTCATCTCATGAACTGTTGCATAGGCTCTGGCGGATTTTCGACATTCCCTCTCAAGTTATTGTAAAAAGATGCGTGACTGACAACCAAGGACATTTTTTATCTTCATCTTGCTGTCAGTCAGCATTGGCATATTATTATGATAATTGTTGGTGGGGGGTCATGAGTTTGTACTGCCAACAGTGGCTATATATGTATAGTTTAAACATCCAAACATGGCAGAGGGTTGTTTTGCTGAATATTTTACACTCAGAACAGGAAATATTGACCATGTACCAACATAAATAAATTGCATTTAATGAAAGGGTGAGGGATTTTTTATACTTGCATCATTGGTAATTTTAAGTTAATATATTTTAGCTGTTAACTCATGAACAAAAATACTAATATTGATTTAGGGAAAGGTGGAATAAGTGATTTTTTTGACGGTGACATGTTTTAGGCATTTTTGGTTTGTAGTTTTCAATGTCTGTTAGTTCCTTCAACACAATTTCAAGCTTGAAAAAAGATCAGTTTAGAAATATCTTTACTGTTAATCTTGTAATCATGCCAAGGGACCATTTTAGTACTTTTTTCCTTTTGTAAAAAAGGGGTAAAAGGTTCTTATTTTCTTTCTTAGTTGGCAGAAGTAAAGCTAAAGCAGGAAATAATCAGACAAACATCCTACAGAATGGCGGTACCTGCAGGGTAGATCTCAACAACTGGATTGGTGCCTTTTTTTGGCCATACAGTCCTGCTTATATATGTGCACGTACAAGCAACTAACCCAGTTCTTATTCCCCATACAGCTCTTGTGATTTGCCTAGTGGTGGTAAAAAAACTGACTCGCTCACACTCTCAAACTTGCACAACATGGCTTGGTTCTCAGCTAAGCTCTCGGCTACAGAAGTGAAAATACAAAACCAGCACATAGGGCAAGTTTTTGTGTAGCTTGCTGATGGAGTATTGCCAAGTGGCTGACGTCAACTCGGCCTCCATTAGCTGTTGAGGAGTTGATGTGGTAGATTTAAGCAGAAGGAGCAACTTGGGGCCACAGTTTTTAATGGAGATATGTGGATTCTTGAAGGTACAGTCAGCGGATGCTTGAGTTTTTTCTTAGAAGTTTTCTTCTCACTTTTTTGCTCTCAAGTTTAATTTTATATTTTTCTATTTTTTGCGACTTCCATGCATGCATATGTGCAAAAGCAGATTCTGGATAGGATATGTTTGGGAGACCAGGCCTCTTGCTGACTGTGTTTGATTTATAGATATTTCAGTAATCATATAATATGTTCAAAGCTATAAATAGATCATTTGATTGTTATATATAAATTCTCCATAGGACATAAAGGAGAATATTTGAAATTGTGTTTTATTACTTGAGGCCAAGCATGCTGTGATGCAGCTGACCAATGTGCAAGTCTTGTTAAATTTTATGTGCTGATAGAAACAGTTCACTGGGGTTATAAAAAAGATTTATGCTTTAATCTTTTATAAATTTCAACAGCTTCATTTCAGGGCCACAGGACCCAACTCATAGGGCATACCCATAGTTTCTCCGAGCCTGACAATGTCAGCAAAATTTTTTTAGGGTATCTTAATGGTATTGGTGTTGATGTCAGCGTAAGGCTGCATTAGGTTTATGGGATAGAAATAAGACCTATGTCTTTTTGCACAAAGTATTTAAGGTGTAGAACTAAAATTTTTGCCTTATTCCCTAAGACCATTGATCCCAATAGATAATAATTTGGGTCATGGTTCGAATAATTGCTGTAGTGTGACTGCATGAGAATTTCTGCCAACTGGTTTCTATAAGTCCTGCTAGTGAGCTGGATTTTTTACAGCGATTTGAATAACTTACTGAAAGCAGCTCGTGGTCAGGGTCTTACTGCGCATGTGTGCACAAATGTGCGTAGAAAGTTAAACTTATTTTGTGATTTTCTGCTATTTAAATATGAGTGCTGGAAATGCTGTTTTGAGTTGCACAAACAATTGCAAATAAAGACAGACAGCAAAAAATCAGAGTAAAAATAGAGCAGCAAGTACATGGGATTCGGTTATGCTTTGCAGTGTGTGTGTACAGGAATGCAAATTAATTTCTTACCAGAAATTCGAATTTGAAATATCTGGTATTGTGAACCAGTTATTAATGTTAAAGTATAAGACAGATATAAATAAAGACAGGATGACTGAGGTTTACGCGGTGAGGCGATCTGTTAAAGCAATGGCCATCATAGAAATGCTCTATCTTTGGCTTGTTGAGTGTTTGATATGAATATGAAGGTTATGACAGATAACCTGGTCATCTGAATGGTGTTCCATTAATGATGACAACTTGACCTTGACTTACATTTTAAATAGTTATCAAATCATATTTATAAAAGAAAATGGCAGTTAGATGTACATATATATTTGCACATTTTTTTCCGCATAATATATGTAGATTTAATGTTGTATTGTGGGTCAGATTTGGATTCTATAAAAATGAGATAGAAAGCAAATGAAAATGGAATTTTTGTTAGCTAAATATGTGTAGTCTCGACAGCATCCCTAGATTCTAGAACCTGTATTTACCTTGGTTGAACAGCTATATTCTCCTTATTGGGGATGTTAACTTATCATCATTGGGACCAACCAATCGAATAGCTCATCACATTTGACTGACAACGATTTAAAACAAAAATGTTGGAGCTGTACTTAGATGAGAAAAATAGGCTCTGATTGGGTGGTCAGATTTTTAACACATTAGGCATGTATTTTTCGTAGCTGTGAGGAGAAGCTTCGCAGGTTTGATGACACAGGCGTACCATCAGAGTTTATGTATGTATGTATGTACAAGTGATTATCCGCTTTGTATAAAGCCAAGAAAATTGGAGGTGGTGATAGATTCATGAAAAACCTGTACCTTGTTTAAATTGTAGATAAGTTTTCTGAATTCCTTGTCTGTTTTGAATTGCTTGTATTTTGCTTGTTCAAAATTAGATTTTTTTGAAAGATTAAAGCAAAGAGGAAATTGAAGGAAGATTGTATAGTCGAAACTTTCTTTCTAAATTCGGCACATGGAATACATTAGTGTCTTGTATTAAGAATTGAATCTTCATGAATAGGCTCTGGTTTTCTCTTTTTTTCTTCTCTTCTTTTTTTCTTAAGTGCAGTATCCTGGGTGTTTCAGATTATAGTTGATTGGAAGAATATTGTTCTCTTCTTTATATGGGGTTGATGGGGATGGGACCTATAAAGAATGTTACATAATCTGGGATGTGAAATTGACTTGCAAGAAGAGGTCTTTTTTGGTGGTCATGGGAGACAAATACGGGAAGTTTATATTGAACTGGTATCATAATCAAATTGGCAGGACTCCTTGCAGTTAATTTGAATAGCCATTAATTGGAATTGCCTTATATTTTGTTAAATTGTCAAGGCTCTTTGGAACTAAGTACAAGCAAGAGTGTTGCAGTATGTTCTGTGGAAATTTTGGTTACTCTATGAATTGAAGGATTAGATTATAAAACTGCCATTCAGGAGTATATTAAACTATTGTAGCCACTTCTAATTCTAAAAGAACTCAGGTATGCATTATTTATTTTCCTTGTTGGCTCAGAATTAAGAGTATAGACCCTGTTTTCCCTTGTGACACTGGGAATGATTTCCTTGCAAGAAAAAATGATTGCTGTGCAAAAATCTATTAGTTTTAAGAGGCAAGACTGTCTCAGTATTCACTTTTCTCAGTATTTTCACAACTGAATTTCATTTGTTGGCTCCAAAATCTCAAATTGTGCTTTTTTCAGGTTGTCTGGAAATTGCTGCCTTCCAGTTTTTTGAGTTAGCCTGTGTCTGCCAAGATGGAAAAAGCGTTTTTTAAATACATCAGAGGGTGTGCCTTAAAATATATTTGTGAGATGTTTGACCATGCACTGACTGAGGTCAACTGCTCTGTACACTTAACATTAAACACAGGCTCATTTTCAGTTAAAAAAGCTTCAAGATTTTTCTGTGGTGTTCCATGCTCATAAAGAAAGCCCACGATAAAAGAAAACCAAGACTTGAAGTAATCAGGTTAGGAGGAGGAAAAAAATGCCTGTTTTGGCAGCCCTTACCAACATCATGTGAAGTTGGTTACCACAGTGAGTTGTAATAGAATCTGCCAGCCCAGATCAGCTTTACATGTTTGCGTCAGGGGAAACTGATGCAGTTGATCAAACTCCACCATACTGGGTTTGCTGGAGGAGATACTGAGGAGGAGGGGGGGGGGGTAATTATGATATGATCAAGGATGATAGATGAGTTGGATAAAATTGATGATGGATGCATAAAGGCATTCTATCATCATTTTGCTGAAAGATAAAAAGGGGGACCGTACTGATGTAAAAAATGAATGGTCAAAGCTTGCATAATGAAAAAAAAAGAAACTTTCAAAAGAAAGTATTGATTTTGTAAACCTCTCTTCATTGGTGCTACATATTATTTCTGTGGGTTTGCCAAGCCTGTTTAGAGTGAAGCAAACTAGAGAGATGGAAATTGACATTATTTCTGAAGTATAAAATGTCAATTGAAATATTTACAGAAAACACAGTTACATCCCCAGTTAACACTAAACATGCAATGAATGTTCTTAAGTAAGTTGATGAAACCACAGAGTTTGAACTTCAGGATTAATGAACCTCAAGATAAATATACTGTTAACAGGATCATTCCCTTGGTTCCATATTGTTTGGCCAACTTTTTTGTTTGTTTATTTAGTTAAAAATGGCAACATATGACATGAACAACTGCACGTACAGAAGTGCACACAGTCTCCAAATTGAATTACATTGAATTAACAAAATTGCATCAGAGATCTTTTCTTTCATTATCATTTATATATAATATGAAATGATGACTATAGTACTTGTAAACCAAACTCATGTTGTTATGATGTGAGTTAGGTACTTACTTTGTGTATGATGATTCCAGGCAGTGTCAGTGATTGCAACTCTCTGGCTGGAGAAAAAAGAGACTACAGCCCAGGCTGTTGCCTTTCTAGTCACTTTCACTAACTCTGATATATTGTATGATTCTAGGCAGTGCCAGTGAGTTGAATGGGCTGGTAGAAGACAAGGAGATTGCTGCCCAGGCTGTTGCCTTTGTGGTAAGCAGCACAAGGAAAGGCATAGTACCACTCTGCTCAGATGTAGCAAAGCTATTGAGACAAAAGAAAAGGTGAGGTGATATCTCAGTTATTTCTGTTGGGGTAATGATTTAACTGAGATGTTTAAATGAAATGAAAGTACCCCTCTTCTCAAACATAAAAAGTTAACTATCATAACTGTAACACATAAGTCATTATGTCGGAACTATGCACAGGCATTTTTACACTGGCAAGAATAATAAATTTCTAGTTAGCCATTAAACATAACTTCAAGGTAAAAAATTTGTCATTCAATGAAGAAAAACTTTTCTCAGCAATTCCTTTGTCTGCAAAACCCTATGTCACCATCGATGAGACTGCAGCTGACTGGGTGCAAAAAAAAAAAAAAAGGGCTATCATCCTCATCCATATGCACCCTAAAATGACATGTCGATGCCCTGCTTCTGCGAGATTCCCACCAAAAAAATGAAATTCTCATGCTAAACTACCAAAGGTGCAAAAATTCTCGCCTACAAACCAAGGGAGGGTGCTATCATAGTTCTTGGGTCATATAAGAATGGTGTCCAAAATTGTTTATCTTAAATAATCATCACCATTAGATGTGTATATTATTTGGCAAAAGGGCGATTTCAACTTCTTTTTTTGTCCATTCTTTGTATTCAGTTTTATGCTGTGCTGTCTTTGAAAACGGTTTACGCACACAATTCATTCACTGCGTGCGCAACTTTTACTAGTAATACTATCAGGGCTTCCTAACCAGTGTGGCCATTGTATCATTTGACGTTGTCTCTGTTCAAGGTCTCCCAACATTAAACATCTTATTTACCTCTGTTGACATGCCATTGCCCTCTCTGTTATAATCCTACTTTTATTCATGCAAATTTTGTGTTGTACTCCCTTCTACTTTTTATCCCTTTTATGTGCTTAAAAGATTTTTCTTTGCATCGTCTGCTGCATTGACTTGTTAAATTAGGGCAGTCACGTGGTACGCCTGCTACCTCGGCCTTCACCGATTGAAAGTAGGTTGAGCAGTTTCCCTCCACTTTTTTTCCACCCTTTCATTCATAGGCTAGTATCTGAGTCACGTGACACGCAGCGTATGTCACAATCGTGGGATGTAAATGTGATTTTTAGTTCTTTATTTCTAAGTAGTGGGCGCGTGTTAGACGTTAAATTTGAAATAGATCTTGTTTATTTGGAGTGTTTGATGTTGTGAAAGTGCTGTTTTTGTCAATAATTTCCAACTAAAACTGCTTTGTATGTCTGTAAAATTTTGATTGGGAAAGGGTTAAAAGAAATGGTTATTACGACGTATTGATTATTGCGGCGATCATTGTGTAATGTGGATGTTCTTTGACTTCATTGTCAGCGTAAAATGATCCGAGATTAATGAAGTGAAACTTAATGTTTTTTATTTAAAAATAGCATTTTTCCTGACCTCCCACTATTTCTTAAATCTCCCCAACTTTTGAGGTCAGAGGGGAGATTTTCTCCCCATTTTTTGAGACCTTGGCAGAACTCTGAAATTGTGTCATCGGTTTGAAGAAAAAAAAAAAAAACTCTGTTACCACACTGTATCTATCAGTGAACATGGACTCACATTTCTGTAAATTTCTGTGAGAAGATGATGTGGAAAACTATAATAGTAATTCTTAAACATCAAGTGATAGGGTTTTTGTTCGTTGAATGATAATGCTTATTGTCATGTTACTTATGATGTCAAAAGTTGATAAACTTAACTAGAGTGTATCTAGACTTTGTTGTTCTCGCTTTGTTCAGCTTGCTGCTGGGATGGCTGACTGATCACTCAACTCGAGAATTTCTGATGTATTACACAGCTATGTTTAAAATCAAGCACTTATTTCCTGTAAATTAAACTTTAAAAAAAGTTTTACTGTTTTGTAAGTGGTTCAACATTCTGTGGCCTGTTGGCTGAATGCTATATATAACTTTGAACAAATTATGAAATATCAGTTCATTCTACTTGTGCAAGGAAATATTTATATTAAATTGTAATGCAATGGTGAATAAAATAAGTGGTTTTTGTCCTATGAAGGCCAAGTTCAATCACAAACATACCTCTAATATTTGACAGATTTCAGGCCGGAGTAAAACATAATGTTGGTATTAGGTTTTATTTTTACATGAAGTTGAGAGCAGACCAAAGATTTATATGTTAAATTTGGTTTTGTTGTTGTCTTCACTATGTTTTTGTCTGTTGCTATGTGGCATGTAGCTTAGGAACTGAGCATAAAAAAATAAAAGCAAAAGTTGATAAGCCTTATCCAATATTGAATAGGTAACAGGAGGGAGCAGAACTTTGTTAATAGGCGGCTGAACTATATTTAGACATAGAATTAACTTAAATGGAAGATATGTGGTTATTATTTAATATCCTGTAAAACAGTAATTTCAAACTCTGAAGGGATTAAAGGAAGTCAACTGTTGTCCCTATCAATGTTTTGATCTCAGCAAATAGTTTCCTCCATATTTTAAATTTTTTGAAAATTTATTAAGTCATATTATTGCAAAACTGAAGGTAGGAAAATTGAAATATTAAAAGAAAAAGTGTATTGATTCTGTCACTCAGAACCAGATCAGTTCATATATCAGAATAGGGTTCAAGATATTGAAATATACTTACCTCATATCTCTCTTATGAACACTTATAAGGACAAACTTCAAATAACAAAATTGTGTTTATAAACATTTTAGTTGTTTAAACCCACACATTCTCTGCTATTCCAGTCTTTTTATAGAGCAATTTGTGTCTGACACTGATGACCTGTTCAAAATACAGGCAATGTCTGACACTGTCAGGGTGATGACTTGGCCACATTTTTGAAATGGGAAAGATTTCTAGGACTATGAAATAAACATTATACAACCATTATTTTGGTGCAAGAACTGCTATATTTAGTCAGGGTGGAGCAAGATAGGGTGGATTTAGCTAAACAGAGGCTAGATGGGGTGGATTTAGCCAAGGTGGAGCAAGATGGGTGGATTTAGCTTGGATGGAACAAGATGGGATTAATTGAGCTATAGGGTGGAGCATGAATAGATGAGTTTTCCACAGAATTAGAAATCTACGCTAGCCTGAAGCCAGTGAGAGCTATTTAGACCTTATCCTAGCCAGGAGTCGGTGCCGTATCTAATAGATTAGGAATCTGTACTAATGAGGCCCTTGTGCCTCACCAGACTAACCTATTGTACTCTTGAATAAAAATGACTCCTAGAATAAAACAGGTCTTTTGAGGTAATTTTTCCTATTTTGCTTGTGTAGAATTTTTATTTCAGCTCTCTTATTTATTTATAATATGATAAGAAGGATAATTTAAGAAGCATCAGAGGTAGTTCAAAATTTTAGTTTCATATCCTTTTTAAATCTCTGTATCAGATTACATGTATATTTATTGTGATGTCACCTGTTTACTCTAATGTCTTTTTGCCTAGTTCCTGACTGTGTTTTGAGTGTAAAAATAAGATTAATGATGGTGAAGGGGTGTCTGGAATCAGGCACCTCCTATGTGCCAAGTGTGTGGTCCCCATTACTGTGACTGCCTGCGACATAAACTGCTGAGGCAAAAATACAAATTCTGTTCAGTGTTTGGGGTTGAGTATTTATTTCTGGGACAAATTGTTGGCAATTAATGTAACTTTTAGGCTGAAAATGTGATTTGTAATGTAAGTATTCTAGTTCAAGGATAACACATTTTACGCCATCTCTCCTTAACCCCCTCGTGGTTAGTTGATGACTGTAATGCAGCTCACACAAGATAACAGCATGTTCCTCGCTAAACCCTCACCTGTCCCAAATCACCACATCAATGTATAGAAACTTGTGTCATTGTAGTCATGCCTGTGAATGAAGGAATGACTGATTGCACTCCTGTATGTGACAAGTTAAGAAAACAGGAAACCAATAGAAAAGAAATCCGCTGGTGCAGAGCATGGTTGCAATGTAATTTGTGTCTTTGGCCCCTGTGGCTGGTTATCAACTCCTCTGGAGCAGGTGATTATCTCGGTCTAGGGGGGTTGTCTTGTCTGCACAGGTATGACATCAGAATAGCCCAGGTAGCCTCTTGGGCAAGTGATTTATTTATAATTCACTTTAGCCCAGTAGTGGCTTAATTGTTATTGGCAGAAGCCTCATGAGAAACCACTGCTCAGTAAGTCATTTTTCTGACAAAATTAGGTCAACTTATTTAGTCCAAGTCCAAGCCATCTTAGCTAGCATGCTGTTTGATTTTGATTTAATAATAATAATAATAATAATAATAATAATAATAATGGTTGTCATCATCATCATCTCCACATGAAGCCAGCTTTATAGCAAGCTCACTATTTACATTAATTTCAATGGCATTTGATAGGCCAGTAGAGGGATTAGATTGGCTGGATGAGTCCTAATAGTGAGCAAGTTAAAGCCAATGTGAGTGGAAAAGAGACATTTAAGGCATTCATTTGTCAAGAAATAGCATAATATTTTCTGAGATGTCCAATTTGTATTAACATCATATAGCTATATAATCTATAAGGTATTTATCTCTTCTATTTATACAGTGTCCTATAGTTCAGAAGAGGAACCCTGTACATAGGGTTCTGTTTCTGCTCTGGAATGAAAGTACCTCCCGAATGACCATAATGATGTTGATAGGGAAAATTAATTGTGGCTCAGTTGAAGCCTATCTAAGTCTGATTTAAGAAAAGGGGTAACAGTGGAATTTGGGTGTGTATGATTGAAAAAATATATAGTCAACATTTTAGTAGCTGTAATTATTTGGTTATTTGCATAGATTTAACGTAAAAAAAGTTAAATTGCAAGTTCAATATTTTTTTGGTCACACTAACTATATATGCCTGTTGGGGGTAACTTTGTGTAGAAATAGGATAGGCATTAAAACAGCAGTCTAAAAAATGGACAATGAGTCACCAACAAATTTTTCTTTTTTTTTTCTTTTTTCTTCACAGTAAACCAAATAGGTTGCAGTTTGGGATATCATGTTTCTAACCCAGTTCTTATGAGATGTCAGTGAAAGAAACCCAGGGATTCAGTAGCTCATAATTCTGCCCTGTCATTATAGCCCATTTCTTTCTCACCTGTACACATATTGAATAGATTTTTTTTGGAAAAAAATCTTTTGTTTGGCTTAAGCTTATAATAGCAGGTCTGCAGCTTCTTTCATGTGAAGCCAGCAATGTGATATTGTGCACACTGAATGACCAAAGATTCTGCTGAAAAGTGGCTGTTCCTCCTGTGGGCAGCCTCCCTCTGCACTTTAGATGCGTTATTGAGGCATGGTATGTGAGACAGAGTACTTGAGTCCACTAAAGTCATTGTGCTCAGTTGTATGGTATCTTAACAACTACTATGCACGTAATCTCCTGTAAGATATTTGCTCAGCCTTAACCACTATATGCACCAGTAGTATGAAACAACTGAGATCTAATGGTCATTTGTATATGTTATATCAAAAACTAAATACATGGATGAAAAGTCTAGATTCTAGGGGTTACAATTGAAGGATGACAAATCAGGAGGGTTATGAAAACCCTAGGGGTGGACAGGGTCACATTTCTCAAACACCTGCAGGGGGGATGTAGTTGACAAGGTATTCTAAAGTTTTCAAACATCTTGCTGAAGGTGCAGTAGCGTGCCTGTTTTTTCTGGCTTTGGAAATATCAACAGGTGCTTGCTTGTTTATCCATTGAGGTGGAAAAGGTTTGTGAAATGAGAACATGGAGAGGGTTTGTAAAGGACTGAAAATACAGGAGTATCTTGTGACCACCACATAGAAATCTGGGCGTCATTGCAGCAGGCCAAATAAATACATACCACAGCAGATTCATGAATTTATTGATATGCGGTGTATTACTTTCATCTTATATGGCTGTTGTTGTATTAAGATGCCAAGCCTACTTTCTCAGTGTTGAATATCAGTTTTAGATAACATTTGAAGTGTGTCATTTTGAAAAAGTGGTCTTAAATGAAAATAACAAGGACACATTTTATTAGGATTAAAGTCCGTTATTTCTAAGATATTGAAAATCATTGTAAGGAAGTATATGATGCAAAGGAAAAAAGTGATTATGTTTGCCATCCTCGCTGATTACTATATTACCTGACTACATGGCAGGGGAAATTTGATGTTATGTAGAGTTCCTGCCATAAGTGGAAAAAAAATGATAAATAGCTTTTTAAAAGCCTGACATTTTTCTTTATCTAAGAACACTGCATATCCCGTCTTTATAACTATGGGCAACTCCTGATTCAAGTGGAAAGAATGGCAAAAAATGCTTTTTTTTGAAAGGCTGGAACCTTTCTTTGCAAAATATTGTCACCATATCCTGTGTGATTAGACTAGGAGACTGCCACAAGAATGTCCCGCTTCAACATTTGTTGTATGTTTGCCATAACAACCTTTCTTTTTTTGTTCCTTTCTGTGGGTTATGTGTAGTCATTCATATCTGTACAGCTCGTATTACTTGGTCATGTTCTCACAGTGTCAGTAATGGCAAGGACAATTATATTAGAGTGTGGTGTCACTGCCAGGGCTCATCCATGCATTCAACCAGTACAAGAAAGATCTTGACCTACACCTTTTGACCCTGTTCTACTCACCATATTGGGTTACTTTCTCCATCCAAGGGGCTATCTTTGGCCCTTGCTAATATTTGTGAGAAGTTGGCATGCAAGTTGGCAAACACCATGTGTCTTTTTTTTTACCCAAGGATTTATTAATACATCTAAGTACAAAAAAGGGTTAAAGCAAAGTTTTGATATTTGATTAGAAAAGAAGCCTACACCCAAGATTGGGGGTTAGCTGTATACATCCAAGGTTCTTAATGATGAAGGTCCACTATGCTGAATGCACAGGGTTCCGTGTTCTGAAGGGTTCACTAGACAAAGTATTCTGAATAATCATATTGATGCCATAGCTGCATAAGTCATGTAATCGGGTTGAGCACTGACTTCCATGCCAGTGAAACATATTTAAGGTGGCTTTTGCATGTATTTGCACTTTTTTGCGATCTTTGAAGGTTTCGCAAATTAGTAATTCCTTATGATAACCACTAAGAGTTAAACTTTATAGTGCAATATAATATGTTACTTATCCTCCTATTAAAACTTTGTTACAATTATTCTCGAAATGCAATGAGAGTACCAACTACACATTGCTTTTTGCAAAGAACGCTTTGACTTTATGACATAAGTACCCACTGGCGATTTGTTTACTATGCTGTGTTTGCAGTCTTGTACCTGTGTGTGTATTTTGGAATAGTGAACCTTTGTCATAAGGGACCTTAGGTATAGCAAACCTTCATTATAGCAGACCTTCAGCACAGCGAACCTTGAGCATAGGGAACCTTTATCATACAGAAGCGCACCCTATGATTGCATATGTGGCACTTCATTAAAAATATATATATTGTCTTTTTTCTTCTTTTATTTTTAGACAGTAATTAGACAGTTTGGCTCATTGCAAAGTGTTATTCTAGTTTCATTTTGCCTATTAGAAAAGAAAATTATATTTTGAATTCAGCATCACAAAGAGTGAGAAAACATTGCATTATGATTATAAAACTAATGGCACAAGTTTGCAATTTCCAATTCTTGTCAAATGGTGATATTCTATGTTTGATTTTTTTTATTTTCTAGCCTTGAACAAAAAGTGACTTGTTTGAAGCATGAAAACAGCAGCCTGCGTTCATCGTGTACAGGCAGTTTCCGTACAAGCCATTCCACCAGTCCAACACCTCCCTCCTTCAACTCCTTCAGTGCTTCCTTGCAGGAACAAGGGATTCAAACTCAGGTAGGAAACTACTACTTGTGTGAGGTTGTTAGTGTGGTATATTTTTTCCCTTTTTTGAATATGAGAATCAGATTATATTTTTTAATGATATACGATTGATGGTTTTAACATAAATTTGTAAAATAGCCTCAATGGTAAACTTTGTGTGTTTGCCAACTTGCTTAAGTTGTATTAGTCCTTTATGAATTGCTTTGACACCTCAGGGTGTAGGTTTTGATTTGTGGTGTGTTGACAGCGAATGTATTATTTGTATGCTTGACTGTTCCATAATATCTCAAAATAATTTTTTATGAGATATCAAAATGACAAAAATATGTCATTTTAATTTAAAATTGACTTAGGGCAAAGGAAATCAAAATGTTTAATGTTGAGAAATCCCAATTATTGCAACCAAAGATATAAGCGTTGGTCCACATGTTCCGTCAAGTCAGCCCAGTAATTCTGAGGCAATGCTGTTCACTTCATTATTTAATGTCTGATGTAATTGGAGTGCCTGAGACGCTTGTTTATTTTTACTGCAGTGGAATATCTTTTTTTGGGAGAAAGTGGAACTTTGGATTGCGGTCATGCACACAGAAAAACACTCCAAAGCTTCAAAAGACCAGGGAGATAGATTTACCTAAAAAATTAACTTTCCAACAACCTAGTGGCCTTTCCAGTTCTGATGTTTATTCCTCCTGACAAATTGAGAACCGGAGAGCTGAGCTGCATAGCTCTGTCTGTTTATATTAGGAGATATTGATGCCGAGTTTCAAAGTTGCCTGCTAAGAAAAAAAAATTCTGTGTAAATCAAGACTGCAAATTGATCATGGTCCTGAAACTACTAAAAATAAGTATAAATAAACCTCATGGTATAAAACAAGAAAATCATAAATGTATAATGCAATGATTTATGTAATGTCATTTTTGCAGTTCATTAGTTATGCTTTTTTGTAGTGACATACATAATTTTTCATGCTTTCAGGATGGCCGCCAGTGCTGTTCCCACTGCTCAAGTGCATCTAGTTCTGCATCTCCAAAACTTGATAAACTTTCTCACAACAGTAACATCAGCTCCCCAAACTCAGATACATCATACCGCTCCCCTCAGCACCACCGTCACCATAACAACCATCACCATAGCAATCAACAGAACCTGCGGCACCATAGACGAAAGGTGTCAGCCTCCAGCTCAAATGAAAGTCTCCACATAACAACTGCAGAAGTCCATAACCCACCAACATCCAACGGAATTTATCTCTCAGATCAAAAAGAGCAGGAGGAGGAGAAGGATTCACCAGAAATGATTCACCATTCAGAGAAAGGATCACCTGCAATACTGTAAGTAATGGACGGTAGTTAAAGAAAGTCTAGGTTTTGGAACATCGTATCTGGGGAGTGAATGTGGGAAATGGGTACACAAACAAAGCTGTTGATAATTTAGAGCAAAAATTACATGTTGGGTTTTTTTATTCAAATATGGTTTAAAAGAAAATTGGGCTTATGTTTCAAACAATACAAATTATTAGCAGTATAATTTTAAAGAATGGTTTTATGTCCAAATGTTTTCTGTTGAAGTTTAAATGTAGTGAAAACTGTTTACCATAGACATGCCGCTCACGTATGCTTGAAGCTTTTATCAAACTGACTTACTCATTCACAGGGCAAAGAGTATGGTTATGGCTATGTTGTTTTAATCAAAGAGTGACAACTTTTTTCTTGTACAAGCAGAGCGCTGTCTACAAACAGATCTCTGCATGCTAGCCAGTTTTGTCTTGCTATCTCTATCTAAAGTGCCATTTCAGTGCAACTTGATCTAACTTAAATTCAAGTGAGATCTTCACGAGTGCTTTCCTTGGTGAAACAATACACTGAAACTGCATGGAGTAACACCCACAGAACTGAGAACAAATAACTTGAACAATTTTTATGGCAGCCTCCTGCCAGGAGGAGTGAATGCTGTGAAGGTTCATGTGCACCTATGTGGAGAAAAGACAATGTATTAAAAGATGGCATTGAACAAAATTTTAAATCCTCAAGGGACAAAGCATAAGGTTTTAAACATGTTTTTACTCTCAAATACATAAACCACTTTTTGTTGAACTAATCATAAGACAAGCAATATTATTGATCATTTTAAACAAATAACTGCCACAAATTAATGTTACCCAAACAATCTGAGATATGGCCTCTTGCCGATCCACAATCTTGTCATGATTTTGAATTGTGTGCTATTGGGAAGTAAGGGCTCATTATGATGTTAGATCAAAGTAAGCGTTACCCCAGCCACCTTACCATGTGTAAAATGCCCTTCAGAAATTAGAATCTTCTTTCTTCTCTCTTAACATCCTCGATTTAAGATGAGGGTAACAAGAAGTATATTTAGGATACCAAGTTAGGTCACAACCTCATGGAGGTAGACCCTGGGTCATACTAGTAGGATTTATTTGCTGATCTGGTACAGGTATTAGTTAGGGAACACCACTCACTCAGTGTGTTTGAATATTGTTTTTCCAAGTTCAAGCCAAAACAGTCCTTTATTTCCTCATTGTGCCTAGTATAATGGTTTCAACATGTGTAGAAATGGGTTAAAAAATAAAGGATCATGTGTGTTGCCAATGCCACACAGAAGCTGTATGGGTCCTTTTCAAGGGAGGGTTAACAGTTGGAAGTTGGAAAGAGGGGAGAAAGATTGCTTTGGGCTGATGATTTTTTTGGTAGTTTTGTATTTGGATTTTAATGCCATAATAAAGATAGCATTTTTTTTCTCTTTGCAGCCCATCAGTTTCCAGAGTTTCCACTGAAGTTCAATGTCAGATACCAAGTCTTAGTGACCAGAAACTGGAAAAACAGTTTAAAGAGAGTAAGATATAGCATATTGATGTAACAAAAGATTGGAAAAGATGCAAGGCTCTTATATTGGTCTCGGACTAAAAGTAATATTGGTAGCAAGCAGTTTTTTTCCTGATATTGCTTGTAGTTCTTATCCAAAAATTGGCAAGTTAATTGTCTTGTTTTTGGTTTCAGTAGATGCTTTGTCAATTGTTTATGTTATAGATGTTCAAATTTGGCTTTAAATGTCAATTTGTACCATTTTTGTTAACTTTGTGGCATTTTATTCCAGCTGTCATCCATAATTCTAAGCTTGCAGAGGAACTGGGTGCTGCTAAAAAAGAGATTGAAATCTTAAAAGGAAGACTCAAGGAATTTGAGGTAATGATATACAGGTCACACATAAAGATATATTCATTGGAAATTTTTTAGTTTAATTTGAACTATTATACTTGAGGATGTTGANGTCAATCTAGAAAAAATCATGCCCTTCTTCTGACAAAACATTTGTAGTCAGAGGTCTTAAAATTTGGTCAGAGTAAACAATGCTGTGATAATGTAGTCTATGGGTATATTAACAAAACTGTTGTTCTCAGTTACATTACTCAGTAACAGACTGTAGAGGTACCCTGTGGGTGCAATCGTTTTTTTGCAACAGCTGAAGGACTAGCTTCTTTGAATCAATGAGGTTTACTTAGACCTCAAGATTTGAAGTTAAAAATGGAATATGCTAGCATGGGCTTAGACAGTATTCATAACTAGAAAAAGAAAACAGGAAAAGATGGAGTGGATAAAAAGATCTGTGGAATTTGTATATTTATAGTAGTACTTTCCTGTCCCTGCCTGACTTAAGAGTGGAAAGTAGGCAGGCAGCGTGCTTGATATTAAAGCTTGTCTCTATAAATAGCACATACACTTACTGTAAACACTTGAGAAAAGAATGATAATACAGTAAATGAAATTGTATGTCTTAAAGTCCATGTTTTTATTACATGACAGAATAGTGTAAAGATTAAAGGAATGAATGGATTATGTATGTTTAAAGTTTGTGTTCTTATTTCATTGAATTTAGTTGAACAGTACTTTAAGTATACTTACTTTTCAAAAAAATTATAATTCAAGGCAAATAAAAAATTGTCAGCAAAAATCTTACAAAGGTCAGTGAACCAGCATACTTTTGCAGAAAATAAATAAAATGTGTTAAAAAGAAGAAATCTGGTAAATGTCAGGATTCATACCCCACTGATTTGTATGTGGTCTTGCTATCTGGTGGTTGCTTAGGAAAACATACAAAAACATTCTAAAATATAAAAACTGGATTGTTAATGAGTTCTAGAGGTGGTCATTTCACCTGAAAGAACTCATCCCTGGTTCCAATTAACTGGGATTTAAGAAAAAAAAAGTTTTGATCTCTTTGGATTTTCTTTTTGTCAGTATAAAAAGAAGCTATTGTTTACTTGCTATCTGGCACAGGAGTGTTTAAGGGCCTTGACAGGAAAACCACATGTTAATGATAAAAAGTGGATTTGGGCCAAATGTTTTCCTCTTGTGCGTGGAAGTAAGGCGATATTTCATGACATAGGACAGATTGAAATATGGGATATCCAAAAAAGAAAAAAAAAAGTAATGGTACATGTTTGATCATTTCTTAAAAACACTTCTGTTATCTTTGGTGATAGAAAGGTTTGATAAGTAAAGGCCATGTGTATCATAAAAAGAAGAAGCAATCTCCTTTTTGTTTCCTCATTTAGATAAAGAAATTCCATCATAAAAAAATAAGATTCAGAGACACCATGTTACATGTCCTTGAACCACTATATCTGATCTCTTAGCCAATGCCACCTCTGCTGTCACCTTGCATTGTAGGTGTGCTATAGGACAGTAGACTAGCTTGTGTGACAAAAAACTTCAGAGTTAGAACTAGCTTTCCACATAATTTGCCACATTCCTGGCCATTTTAGCAAAATTTACAATGTTTGAGTGAAATGGTAGGTGTTACAATAGTCATTCAGCTATTTATCGAGGAAAAAGTTAGTAGCACTTACCTCATTTGCACTTTCGGAAGACATTTGACTGGCATGCTATGCTTTAGCTTATAATGGAGAGTGTTTTTTTGTTCAGCTGTACTTTCATTTACTTTTTATTTTGTAAATGTGTCTTATTTTTTTCTCTCAATACATTTGCAGATGAACAGTTTGGCTCGCATGTATACTGAGGTATATCACGTAGAGAATGAGCTTCATCATCTTGCCAATGGAGATGTAGAAGAAACGCCATCAGAGTCCTCAGCACCCACAGCTACAAACTTGCCATCACCAACACATAAACTGCAGGTGAACCATAATAAGTAAGTGTGAACATTATAGCCTTAAAATTTTTCTCTGGTACAGCTGTTTCTGGTCCTGAAAGTAATTGGTACATATTTGTTTGTTAAAGAGGTTAAAAGTTTGTTAATAAATAGCAAAATTTTTGCCATAAATTATCATTTGATATCTTTTCAAGATTTCATTAAAATCAAAATTGAATCTGTATGCTTTTTCATGGAAATAATAAAGAATGAGATTGTTTTTATAGCTGTATGAATCCAATGATGTTAAACCTGATCTTTCATTGCAGCAATTATAAACCCCCTATCCCAAGGAAGCCATTGCCTCCAGTGCTTGTTCCTGGTCCACTAGCTGGGTGTAAATGTGAACAATGTGAGGGAGCAGATTCTCAAACTGTGCAGACAGGATTAAGGTAATATTACCTTGGACACTGATGATATATGTCTTTATTACCAAAAGTATGTGACAAGGATTTTTTTTTTTTGCTCTTTAATCCATTTTTGATCAAAATTCCAAAGACTTGGATGCTCTGTTGTTGAATGCCAAGAGGCATTTGAATATTGCTCTATATTTCATTGGTAAGTGTGCCATTTTAGACAAAAATCAAAAAATCAAAATGATAAATACTATTATAAAGTTAATATTATAAAGTTTCTTGTACTTTATGGATAGTTCTTTTGAATGTCCTTTTTTTTACAATTCAGCAGTAAGATGGCGTATAGTCTGGGAGACCATGTCGTGGTCAAGGGGGATAGGACTGGGCATATCAGATATATTGGACATCTGGACAACTTGGGTCAAGCTGATATGGTCTTTATTGGCCTGGAGCTGGACGCACCAGGTGAGTATACAGGTGAAGTGCACAAGAGGCATACACTTGTTTGTCAGTGCATGTGCACATGCAGACACATGTGTACACTTTTACCCATGTCACGATGGGAAGTGGAAATATGCACCAAGTAAGGGCCATTGCAAAGGAAGTTCAGGCTGTGATTAAATGACAGCCGCGATACCTCTTACATGATTTGTATTTGAGCCCACATTTCTGTTTTTTATCAGTACCCATGTCTTGCTTGAAACTTGAAGTTAGACTAAGAAGGCATAACTTTATCAGTTTGAATGCTGGTTAATGGGTTTCCAAAGCTAAAAACAGGCATTTTTAAGGTTTAAATAATCAGAAAGTTCTATAAACCTGGATTATCTAATTTACAGTTGGACGGCATGATGGATTTTTCAACTACAAGCGTTATTTCTCCTGCCATAAGGACCACGGGATATTTGTCCCTATACAAGATGTGCTTTGTGAAATAGGAAAGAAAGTAAGTACTGCAGTCTTGGAAACGGCATTCTTTATATCACTACAGCATTTTATTAGGTCAAAAAATGAAATGGCTCATAGGCATGTGCCTTACAAATTACATAGAGACATTTCAATTCATATCATTTGATATCAGTTTTGTTGCAGTTTACTCATTTGGAAATTTGCAATGACATTCCTTTGAGTGAAAAAACTGCACTGGTTTACTGACTCATAAATTATTACATCAGATCACAAAAACACATGGCTATTGTTATTTATTCAATTTGACAGAATTCGCCCAAAAAATCCCAACCCCAGCATACAGAGATGAAAAGGAAAACTTCCAATCCTGAAACATCCCCTACGTTGTCTGGGAGTGGCACTAAGAGTACACCCAAGAGAGACAAGACTGGTTCTTCTGACAGAAAAGTGTCCTCTGCAGATGGACTGCGTAATTTGAAGTTTAAAAGGTCTGTAGTGCATTGATTTTTTTTTTTGATTTTGCCAATTTGGAACAGATACACAGGCACTTTGTGAAAAACTTTTGATCCAAATAGTTTTTCTTCCTTCAAGATTGAAGTGTACTGAGGGTGCAAAGATAATTATAATGATTAGTTAAAAAAAAAACATTTTATAAAGATTGAATATGCCATGTGCCTTTAAAAACTCTAGCAAATGTTTCAGTCTTATGTTTTGAATTCAATTGTACTCTCTCAATGTACTCAATGTAAGTTTACTCTTAACAGGGACAGTCCAATGAGCATTGTATGACAGTGGTAAAGACCACAGAGTCCGGATCCGAGGTCTCTTCCAAACTACGTCTTCCTGTAGAAAATGTGAAAGAACGTCACAGTAAATGTCCACAGAAAAGAGGGGATGTGACTCCACCTTCCACCAGCTTGTTTGTAAATATTGAAAGGACATTTTATGATTGAGCCTCATGCGGATTCCTGTAGCAGGTACAAATGTGGTAGCAATTTCCTGTGTACAAGAGATTTCTTTTACTGATTTGATTCTCACCTCAACCTTGCGTGATATTTGCAAAGGTTTGATGGCCATTTTGCAATTGACTGTTTTATGAATTTTTCGATAAAAAAACAAAATACATTATCAGCTTCCAAATACAGGTGCTTTTTGCTTTTTTGGATCATTTTGTTTTCACCTGAATCTCCACTAAGATTAATCAGTCATTGGAGTTATTCTGCAGTGGAGTGAGGAACATTGACAAAAAAATGCCTTTTAAAAATAGTAAAGCACCATTAAGGCCAGAACCCACTCTGAGTAGAACCCAGCACCAGGTATAATATGTTATGTTAATTGGTCAGTGAATTGATATTGATTATAATTTGAAAGTGAAGTGAACAGATGCAAGTGGTAAAATACTTACAGGATGTATAGGGAACTTGATGTGATAAAAAAGTACACCAAAACTTAGGAACTTGGCTTATTTTGGAAGTATTGTATCACCAGATCTATTGTATTCTTCCATATATTGAAGAAAATGTATGTGTACATTACCGTAAATTGGCATATATTTGTAGTTCTGTAGCATGTATGCCTACAATAGCATGAATGACAATATATGAGACCAGCACTGTCTGAAACTGTGCGGAACTATTTCACTATTTACCGAGTGGTTTGCATAATAATAGTCCTCAAATGGTTGCTTCACTGTTTGCCTTGCCCAGTCACTAAATAATGATTTATTCATGAATTTTCTGCAGGTCACAGTGAGATGTAGGCATTTATTCTTTTTTAGTCTCTTAGATGTGTTGTCTGAAAAGTTGAACACTATCAGTAAATCATTGAGCCTGAAATGTGAATGTCCATAGGATACATGAATATGTGCATCTGCAAACATGGAAATCACAAGTATGCCAGTTTGCAATCTACATGTATGTACCCATACTCCCAAATAGGCATGTTGACGAGTCACTCCATACTTTGTACATATTGCCACTGTACAATACACATGGGTCAGTTGTGGAAAATCACCATAATAGATATAACAGAACATTTTAGATTTCTACAACCAAATTTGAAATTTATGTATTTAAGTCAGATTGCAGTTTGGAAGCTTGAGATACCCTTAAGGTAAAATTTCCGTACATTTCATAAAATTTCAAGGAGCCAAACTGAAATTTTGAAGTTTGTCTTTTTATGTTATTTACTTAAGTTGCTGTATAATCTGACAGCCTGTGTTGATTTACCAATTGTGATGTTTATATATATATGTATAATGTGAAGTTTAGCTGTGTTGACAGAAATAGAGATTATGCACTGGACTTGTGCTGAAAGCACATGAAATTTAGTCATATTATGTTCACTGCTTTCTGTTTTCACTTCCAATGGGCCATTAATTCACTTGTATAAAGATAATTAAACTAACCAAGTAATTTGACGAGTTTTGACAGTTTGTCAAAACAATTAAATGACTATGTATACATAGATATATATATTCCAATTAATATTTTTTTTTCTGTAATTAAGAAACCCAGTGATGTAAAGCATCAAAACCAGTGACGTAAATCATTATTTTATGAACAGCACTTTTGACAATCGCACCTTTTTTTTTTGCATGTTTTTTTCTGATATAACAGAGCCAGCTTGTTTTTGAGCTAAATTTCTTCACTTATCATCAATTGGAAAAGGACAGTGTAGCCCATTGTTCATTTGTATAGATATATCATTGCTACTCTTGTAAATATCATCAAAACCTAAATAATGCAGAGGCAGCTTCAAAGAAGGCTGCAGTGGATAGACAAAACCCATAGCAACAAAGTATAGTAACTATGGTTATACTGTAAGTAGAAAGACAAAATTCCCATATACAAAATGGTACCAACATTTAAGATAGAAAAAGAATCATGCCTTAGAAAGTGGTGCATATTTTAGCCCTTTACCCATTCTGTCTCGAAGAAACTAAATCATAATTTAAAAAGAGCTCTTTGTTGTCTGTGCTGTTTTCGTAAAAGTAAATCACACTTGTAGAAATATCATACCAAATCCCTCTTTTTAATTGGTCAGTCACAGAAATAGGTCTTAAAAATTGCTTTAAGTTTTAATGCAGAGATTTGGAGACTTTTGATTATTTAATTCGTGTCATATTTAAAATGTGAAAAATTGCTAAAATTTTAGAGCATGCATGGAAGTCATAATTGCAAGAGAGAATAATAAGTTCTGTTTGGTACATATACAATATATATATATAATATGGAAAATGTTTGGATATGTTTTAAAAAATAAAGATTGACAGCGTTGACATTGGGCATCGAAATAAAAATGTTTGAATTGCGATGAAAATTTGCATCATTAGTGGACTGTGCCAATTTTACACTACATTTAAAATAAATCACATTTGTAGGTAAGGGTTTACACATTTACTATACTGATTTGTGTAAACAAAAACCCAGGTCTCACTCGATTGTTTATTTTGGCATTGATGTGTACTAGGCACTGGTTGAAACTTGCCCCAAATAGGTTCACTGGCCTGAACATTAGCACACTCAACTACAAGCCCCTTAGATATATATAAAGCAAGATAACTGTGGGCCTAATGATGTCCACAGGGCATTTTTAAGCTTTGTAGCTTACCTGGCTTCAGATATGCTTTCAGTATAGTGACTATATTTGTGATATATATGCAATCATGGGGGGTGAATATCCCTTTAAATGAACCTTAAGATAACCCTAAATTTCTTGACCTTTATTTGTGATTTTAACACTTTACAATGTTACTTGTAAAGAGCAGTGCCGCTTACATCAGTGGCATGCTAAGTCACTATTTGGTCATGTTTCTACAAAGTGCTGTTTGTGATATTTTCTCCTTTTATGATGTTTTGTTGCAAGGACCAGGGTTATTCATGTGTGAAAATGAAAAAGAAACGAGCTTAACTTGTTTAAAGTCTAGCTTTTGGGCTCAAATTGCAATCCTTGACATTTGAAACATCAGAAACCGAGTCAGCGGTTAGAAGAAAAAGGTTGCTCTTTAAGAATTATCAGCAAAAGTGATCGTTGCTCGATTGGTGAATTAAGAACAGTATTAACACTTATGTCATTAGAGTATACCCACAATTTCAGGAGGCAGATAGTGATATCTCAACTTTCTGTCATACCCTTTTAGAGGGAAGTTACTATCTGTCTGAAACTCCTGGTATTGTAATGTTTTATGAAGTAAAAGAAAAACCCTTTAGTGGGGTTAGATATTAATTCACTTTCATGGGAAGCAGTGCAAAAGTCTTAAATTGTAAATTATGCTGGTTTGGAAGTATTTCTTGTTGAAAATTGCATATTATTGAACATGTTATCTGCTATGTGGAGAGGAGTATTTGTGGCTATTTTAAAATACCCGTGAAAATTGTAGCTGGTCAAATGTAATACAAATAATTCAGCCATCATGGTCCATAAAAATGTATGCCATAAATTTTACCTTTGTAGTGTAAATTGTGACCTACCAGGTTAGGTTTCAAAATTGGGGCTTTTATTGTTATATTTTAACAGTCATCGATTATAAAGCTATTTCTGCTGTTTTATTGCAGTCCAGATAAGATACAGTTAGAAACTTTGTATAATATACAACAATGATACACTTTGTATTACTTTTGACTGGGAAAGTAGCGTTTCAGTGTGATGATATACAGGAAATAAGATGAGCCAGTACTTGAAGAGTTTGTAGCATTCTAGGTAGTGAGTTACTGACATGGCAGAGCATGGATCATGAAAACCAGTTCCCAATGTCTCAGTCAGGACTTTGTTCTAATATTGTCTGCAGATCACCATTCTGTACTTGTCTTCCAACATGGTATCAGTGCAGGCGCTATTAACTTTCTAAAAAATAAAGTTTATTTAACAAGATATTTTGTGTCCGTTTCTTTTCTTTTTTTTTTTTTTTTGTATGTTTGTGGGATGGGGTGAAATATGGTATTTATTTGACCAACAAGAAGGCAAACTGAGACTAGGAAGTCACTCGGAGAGGGCAGACCAGGGCGCTTGGCAGAGGTCTGTGGTCCCTGAGTGCTTTCCTAGTTGTATTCCATACAAACGTAAGAAAATCAAACATTTACTTTTAAAAATTTATTGAATTGTGTTGGAAAACTAGGTTTAAAATAGCACCTAAATATTGACATTTTTTCATTCATTCATTCCAATTTAAAAAAGCAGGAATAGCTACTATTATATAATAAAGCGAGATATTTTTGGATTTCCTAATAGATGCTTATTAAATTGTTAAAATAATTAGTTTGTTGTGTCACAAAAATCTCTCATGTCAATATTTGTTTTTGGTAAAAAAAATTGGGCTGAAAAAAAGCCTCACTTCACAAGCTGGTACACATGCCGCACCACCTGTTAATATAAAATCACTCTTCATAGAAATTCAACGTAATCTTAGTTAAAAGCAATATCTGCAAAGAGTGGGCAGTAGCATAACTAACAAGACAAAGAAGACAAACACAACAGACATCTTTTTCTCGTAAAAAATATCAATAAAAGAGCTTGTATCCAATATATATATAAACTATCGTGGACAGGCACTTTTTCCAGTATAAAAAATTGCATGAAAATACCAGGTGCAAAACTCTGGTTTCATTACAACATGATTTTATATGAGACGCGTAGTTAATATTCTGTACATCTGTACAATGTGAATCCTTTATGTACAAAACTAGCATCTATCGCCTTTGTCTCTATTTTACAAATATAAACAATATACATACCACAGAAGAGCATTTGGGAACACGTCTTAGCATAAATTCTCAATGGCCATTTTTACAAAGTCTACCTTCTCTCTACATCTTTGCACTAAAAGCACAAGTAATTCTGCCTCTTGTATCATATCACTGTTTAAGTTTAATTGGACCCAAATCTTTATGTATAAAAAATGCAGAGAATGGAATTCATAATTATAAAACAGCTCAGCTGTCATATTCATTAGAGGCAGTGTGCACACTGATCAAACACTCATTTTAAAAGTTAGTACTGTCACTTTCTTCCTTATATTTACAACTCTACAGGAAAGTAGTCTCATTTGATGAAAAGTTAACCTTTAATAAATGATCAAAACAAAAAAAAAAAATAAAATCTTGGATATACAAGTGCACAACAGACTGAGACTACCTGAAATTTTTTAAATGCACCCAAGAAATCCAGTTAAAAGCAATTGCTCACACTTTCATTATAACATGAAATGCAATCTAAAATGTTTTTAATGCAAAGAAAGTAGAAATAAAATGCATATGGTTAGGATTTGGGTAAAAGTTAAAACATTAAACCTGTCCAGTTTGCTGATGGAGGATGCAGTCGTAAAAAAAAGATATATTTTTCAATCAAGTTCGAAATTTCTCAAACAAATAATGAATGTTCCACACCAGGCATTGGCTGCATAGTGATCATGGGCAAATACAATCACTGTGAGACATTTCACACCACTTTCTAAATCTAACTTTGTTTAAACTGCAGAGTATGGAAAATACTATAGAAGAACTTATTGCCATCAGCGTCAACTTTGTAGTTTTCTTTCATGAAGTCTACCTGAACAGCATTTTTTTGTTCATTTTTAACTAATTGGTGGTCAATATCAAAAATTCACTTAAAGGAATACTGTTTGCATAGGGTTCAGTATTGTCTCTTGTCTGCACAGCTTTCTATATTGCACTAGCAGACCCCTGATTATCCTCAAGTCCAAGATCACAAGTACTAACAGCTCTCAGTGTCTGGACTTCTGTATCAATCTGTGTTGTACACTTAATTTATATATACATATATGTGTATAAGATATCATTTTCACAGAACTTGATGCTTTCAGGCAAATGTTGTGTGATCTGTAAGATATGGAGAACTGTCATCATCTCCAAAGAATTCAACTTGATCAGGGTCTTCCTGTTTTAAAAGTTTTCGTTTTTCGTCCTGCTGTGAGGACGATGCATCGCTATGGTATAATGTCTCGTACATAGGATTGGCAAAGTTGGTAGGCTGGAAATGAACAAAAAACATACGATTTATAAATCACACTCTTGCATAAGTCATTCTAAAACTATGTAAGCAAGGTATCAAAGCCGTCAACTGTACAGACAACAAAAAATAATGATGCAGAAGAAGAAGAAGGTTATTTTGTTAACTTTTTTAACTTTGATGCAATATTACATAATGTTTAACTGTGAAATCAACACCAAATTTTAAATATGTACAAAAATATGTGTTTAGCTTACAGGTTCAGGCCTAAGAGAGTTCAAATTCAAATATCAATATGTGAAAAATGAATATTTCAAAAAAAAAAAAAAAAAATTACAGTCCTACAAATCTTTTCCAAGTTTGAGAATCAAAAGTAACATAATGTGTTATCCTTATTGCATATATGTTGAAAAAAAAATTTAAAAAAAGCACAGCTTATGGAAAAATGGCCTGCTCAGCCATAACCTGTATTTCATGAATGTTCACCTGTTAGTTTGAAGACAAAAGGTTAAATTATTTTCCACTAATCATGTTATCTCTGAAAGTGCATGGTACATACGTGCACTAAAGTACAGACAGGAGCATAAACTGATCGTCCTATTTAAGCAAAAATTATTTCTAATTCTTATTTTAAATGATTTTTTGAATGACTTAAATAAAATGAAATATCTGCATTTGACTACCTTATCTCCTTCAAAATCAAAAGCATCCATTTGGACTCCATCCTCATCCTCATCATATTCCCTCACATAGATAGGGTTAGTAACTGTGTCATCCATGCGATGGTGCTTAAACTGATTTCTGAAAATTGAAGAGGGGTTTTAAGGAAAACTGACTGTTGACTTTGGTTGTAAAGCTGAAAATGCATGTTTCAGAAGTCCAACATGTTCTGCATCAGTAGCCATTTCCATTTACCAATGTAATATTAAGTTAAGCAAAGAAAACACTGCCCGTTGAATTACACAGTTATCTTTGAACATATTTCTCTAAGGATAACAAACAGTAGTTATCTGTTAATATTGAAACTTACCTCCTCCTCTTTTTCAAGAACACCACCACTACTATGATTACAAGCACAATCAGAAGTATAATACACAAGGGAACCACAATATTCACTGCACTCACTGGAAAATTAGAAAAGTCACATCAGTAACAATAACCAAACAATTGATATTTGAATAGAATCATATTATAAGTTGAAACCCTGTTCTATTCTATTGAAAAATATATGTATGAATATTATGTGAACACACATCCTTTGTTGATTTTTGCTCAGTATTATCAAATAATCACAATCTGTATCTATATTTTGCATTAAACTGGTTAAACCAAAATATCAACAGGTTTATTTGAGGTGCCACACACCAATCAAAGCAATGTACATTAAATTTGTTTTCAATCTAAAAGTCATGAGACAAAATCCACTTACTGGCACTGCTGGACTTACTGCCCACTACCATATTTTCACACCTGTCACCATCCCAGCCAGATGGGCACCTGCAAAAACGAGATTGTAATTGTATAAAGTAATATTAACAATCAGGGTCACATCTGACAAATTAAAAAAAAAAGCCAAAATCACACCCCTGTCTACACTCATCTTTTACTCTCCAAGTGGTGCCCAGGGCATGTGATAAACCTGTAGGACATCCCTGTAAACATTTTATGTAAGTAATAATAATTCAAATAATAACTAGAGGATCAGAGAGGCGATACCGCCTCCAAATATTGTACCACCAGCNCATGTACTAACAGCTCTCAGTGTCTGGACTTCTGTATCAATCTGTGTTGTACACTTAATTTATATATACATATATGTGTATAAGATATCATTTTCACAGAACTTGATGCTTTCAGGCAAATGTTGTGTGATCTGTAAGATATGGAGAACTGTCATCATCTCCAAAGAATTCAACTTGATCAGGGTCTTCCTGTTTTAAAAGTTTTCGTTTTTCGTCCTGCTGTGAGGACGATGCATCGCTATGGTATAATGTCTCGTACATAGGATTGGCAAAGTTGGTAGGCTGGAAATGAACAAAAAACATACGATTTATAAATCACATTCTTGCATAAGTCATTCTAAAACTATGTAAGCAAGGTATCAAAGCCGTCAACTGTACAGACAACAAAAAATAATGATGCAGAAGAAGAAGAAGGTTATTTTGTTAACTTTGTTGCAATATTACATAATGTTTAACTGTGAAATCAACACCAAATTTTAAATATGTACAAAAATATGTGTTTAGCTTACAGGTTCAGGCCTAAGAGAGTTCAAATTCAAATATCAATATGTGAAAAATGAATATTTCAAAAAAAAAAAAAAAAAAAAAAAATTACAGTCCTACAAATCTTTTCCAAGTTTGAGAATCAAAAGTAACATAATGTGTTATCCTTATTGCATATATGTTGAAAAAAAAAAATTTAAAAAGCACAGCTTATGGAAAAATGGCCTGCTCAAGCTGATTTTCAGCCATAACCTGTATTTTATGAATGTTCATCTGTTAGTTTGAAGACAAAAGGTTAAATTATTTTCCACTAATCATGTTATCTCTGAAAGTGCATGGTACATATGTGCACTAATGTACAGACAGGAGCATAAACTATTTAAGCAAAACATATTTCTAATTCTTATTTTCAATTATTTTTTGAATGACTTAAATAAAATGAAATATCTGCATTTGACTACCTTATCTTCAAAATCAAAAGCATCCATTTGGACTCCATCCTCATCCTCATCATATTCCCTCACATAGATAGGGTTAGTAACTGTGTCATCCATGCGATGGTGCTTGAACTGATTTCTGAAAATTGAAGAGGGGTTTTAAGGAAAACTGACTGTTGACTTTGGTTGTAAAGCTGAAAATGCATGTTTCAGAAGTCCAACATGTAGCAAAGAAAACACTGCCCGTTGAATTACACAGTTATCTTTGAACGTATTTCTCTAAGGATAACAAACAGTAGATATCTGTTAATATTGAAACTTACCTCCTCCTCTTTTTCAAGAACACCACCACTACTATGATTACAAGCACAATCAGAAGTATAATACACAAGGGAACCACAACATTCACTGCACTCACTGGAAAATTAGAAAAGTCACATCAGTAACAATAACCAAATGATATTTGAATAGAATCGTATTACAAGTTGAAACCCTGTTCTATTCTATTCTGCTCTATTGAAAAATATGTGAACACACATCCTTTGTTGATTTTTTGCTCAGTATTATCAAATAATCACAATCTGTATCTATATTTTGCATTAAACTGGTTAAACCAAAATATCAACAAGTTTATTTGAGGTGCCACGCACCAATCAAAGCAATGTACATTAAATTTTGTTTTCATAAGACAAAATCCACTTACTGGCAGTGCCGGACTTACTGCCCACTACCATATTTTCACACCTGTCACCATCCCAGCCAGATGGGCACCTGCAAAGAAAAGATAATGATTGTCTAAAGTAATATTAACAATCAGGATCACATCTAACAAATTAAAAAAAAAGACAAAATCGCACCCCTGTCTACACTCATCTTTTACTCTCCAAGTGGTGCCCAGAGCATGTGATAAACCTGTAGTATATCCCTGTAAACACTTTATGTAAGTAATAATAATTCAAATAATAATAATAATGAACAGTTAAAAACAGATGTTAAACATATCAGTCATACACATTTGAATATAAAACAATCAAAAGTTACTATGGAGGCTTAGGTGAAATTTAAATACCTTTTAAATGAATACCAAATTTTAATGGTACAAATGTGGACAGTGAAAACATTTTTGCTTATTGACTAAAGTAACGAAAACATGCTCTTTCTTTCATTAGTTTAACTCACTTCATTTAATTCTGTATCTGGCAACAATTAAGGCAGTAAAGGCATGAAAGTATAGACAGAAGTATAGACTTACCTGCAACTGTTACATGTAGCATTAGTACAGGTGAGACAAGTGCCCCCATTGAAACAATGGTTCCGACACTGCTTGGGCCACGGCTGATCACAGTGTTTATTCATCCAACCAGGGGAGCAACTGAATAACACAACAAATAAACACTAGATGAAGTGTAGCAAGTGAAAGGCTGTACTTATGGTTTAATGACTAAAGCAAATAAATTTAATGCAGTACACATTTGGAACATCTTTTCAAAATTACCACAGCAGGTACATATCCATAAATATTTGAGCTCTAGTTTTCAAATGTGCATATACTTCTTTACACACCAGTCATGTTTGATTGCCAGCTGTGTCACAACAAATCACAATACTTTCCTTCTGCGCAATGCAGAATCAATCACATCTACCACAATATGTGACACACATGACACACTATGATTGTCACACCTAGCGCAATTTCAGCATAACCATAACATAACCATACCTGCACTCTGGTCCATCATCTCCCATTCTACAAATGCCATCATGTTTGCAGAGGAAATATTCACAGGAATTGGCTTCCTCACAACGTTTTCCCTTATATCCTTCAGCACAATGACAAAATACAGGCTCTCCTGGAGAGGGAGCTGAGGGCAAAAGACAAATGATTTTTAAAATAAAAGAAATTTGCATAGAGGTTACAAGTATCTTACAAGAAGAAAATGGGGATTAAACCCCTTATATTCATAGCTTTCATAGTTTAGGCAAATTAAACTGAACTTAAATTAAGAATGGGACAATTACAATAAATAAATAAATTAATAAACAAATAATCAAATGAATGAAGTTTTACAGCAAGCATAAAATAAATTTTACAACGCACTGTGACTACCACACAAATTTTCAATTTCAGCATAAATTACCTGGTAAACATGTTCCTCCATTTAAACAGTAGTCATTGGTACAGTTTGCTTTAAGTTCACATTTCTTCCCAGAGAAACTAGGATAACATCTACATGCGAGTTTCACAGTGGTGTCATCTGTGTAACACTCCCCTGAATGACAAAAAATGAAATTTTAAAATAGGAATACTGGTCCTATGCGCTAAGCAAAATTTATTTACATAAGTTGTTTATTCAAAATCATCCAGTATCTTCTTTAATAACATTTATTGTCTACATATCAATTCTAAATTTCATCAACATATTGCCCTACATTTATCTATACAACGTTGCTCTCACCTTGTCCGTTACAATACGTATCACATCTATCATTTTCACACCGTGTTCCCGTATATCTGGCATGGGAGTTACAAGTACAATCCGCGAACGATCCTGTGTGACTTGTTTTCATTTGACAGGAGGCATTATTCTTGCAGTAGTCATGACATAGAGTATACTGACAACGGTCGCCTTGGTAGCCATCAAAACATTTGCACTTTGTCCGACTGTTCTCTATGGTGCAGTAACCTTTCTCGTTACCCTTGGTACTTGAGGGTTCACATTGATTAGGATTACTAATACACTTTTCACATCTCATACCTGAAATAATGATATACAAATATATACATGATACAAACAAGATGGCTGAGGTATTTCTGACAATATTTCAGGGCAGATAAACCAACACTACACTAAGAGATCTTCTTTTCTATTTAATTCATCAGTATATTTAAATGATAAAAATACTCACTAAATCAATATAATTTTAGAAAAGTGATAGGAAACAGCATTGATAGCATCAATTCAGACTATTGATAAAACTAGCTCATAGATCGAAATTTTATCAAGGACAACGTGACAAAGCAATATTTGAGACATAATATATTCTATAGCAATCAAGTCAGACAATTTCAGCAACACCAAACCATCTGCTGACCAAATCAATTACAAATTAACTGTGTATATGGGTTTTAACCATAAGGCAAACATGATAAACATGACAAGTATCTTCCAGAAAATGACCTATCTTGTATATAGAAATTGATGCTTATTCTGAGTCTAAGGAATCATTCTATGTATCTCTAAGAATCCCCACACATGCTTCTATGAAATACACCAGCATACAAAAGCAATCAATACCTACCCGTAAACTGTGTTTTGCAAGCACAAGATGGCCTCCCTGAAGGGTCTACAAAGCATTTCCCATCATTATAGCAGTGGTTGGTACAGGGGTCCTGTTGATCTTGGCACCTTGGGCCACCATAGCCAGTCTGGCATCTAAACAAGGTAAGTTCAGATGTATTTATTAAAAAAAAAAATTAATGGCAACTGTTACAGGGGTTTCCCCAAAGGAAAAAGAATAAGTTACAATATATGCACTTATCAGACATGTTTCACAATATAAAAGAACAACTTATTTTGTATAACTTTGTTACGTTTTCATCATTTTATGGCCACTGTCAAAGATAAGTGTGATATAAAAGGGGAAGAAAACTTAAGACTTATCATTTTCTTTGGACATTGCAAACTACACAGAGTACTTACACACATTTAGGAAGTCCTCCATCTTGTACCACACAGTATCCCTGAGGATAACAATAGTCAGTGCACTTGTACTTCTCACAGCGCTCACCCTCATATTTCTCTGAACACCTTAATTGAAAAGCAATCAATTTATGCAAATATAAATACCATTCTCAGTGTTTTTTTTAAATCAGACATATTTCTGTCTAATATACCATAAACCTTACCATTACAAAGTTTATTACCTCTGCAAAGGAGGTTATATTTTCACTTGTCTGTCAGTTCATCACCAGCCTCACTCTAAGTTTTGGATTTTGGTGACCTTTTCATGATAGATCAGATATAGGCTAATTTACAAGTATTTATATTTTGGTGATGATCTATTAATTAATTAGTTAATTAATGGCTGACTATTTGTCTTGGTGGTCATCGCTGTCAGAGTGCTTCAACTACTTGAGCTCATATTTCAGTATTTATTATGATCAAATGTTAAAATTCACAGGCATTTTTTATTTTGCTAAATACAAAGAATCTGCTTCAAAAAAAAAAAAAAACACCCGGAAATGATGTTTAATTGTATAATATGTTTCATATAACACCTCAGACTTGTAATCTTAACTTCCTTGATATTCTACTTACTTGCAATGAATGGTAGTTGCATTATACAATGAGCAAGTGCCACCATTGTAACAGTAAGCAGCACATTTATCGTTTTGACAACGGCTGCCTTCAAACCGTGCAGGGCACCTGCAGTGAAAAAAAAAACGGTGAAGAATTACATTTTTAAAATTCCTCACTTCATTTGTCCAAATATTACAGAGACATTGTTTTTTTCTGAATAATTACTTAAAAATTTGTGCATGCTGGAGCAATTTAAAATTTCACTATTCAGCCAAGGCATACAAAAAATCGAAAAATAATAAGCCACATTATTGGAATATCTTGTTATATTTTACGAATGGCAGTTGACAATTTTTTTCCTATTGTGTACAGTAACCAGGAGAAGAAAATAAACATTCAACCAGTTCATTTTGGCAAACTTCCACCCTCTGTGCACAGTAACTATAAGAAGTAAATCAGCATTCAATCAATACAGTTAGTCTGCTGACTCACTTTTTCCATTTTTTAAACTTTGAAGTGTCAATCAAAGCTGGAGGCCTTCTTCAATGAATGTAAAGTGCAATTTAATATTGCCAAGTGAAATTGTACTTCCAACTAAGTCTTTTTAAACATTAGTAAATAGTACTGCACAGAATTGGGATTGTAATTATATATTGTAAATATTTGTAAAAATATAGTAAAAAAAGAATGCTTACTGGCACTTTGGCTGCTTATTGATGGTTATCCTACAAGTGCCTCCATTTTGACAGAAGTTGTCACAACTGTCCTGGTCGGGGTTTCGCTGGCACGTCTTGGAGTCTTTTGGCTTGTAGGCGCCATCTTGGCAGACACATGTAGTAAGGTTGTCATGGACGGGGAGACACAAGGCATTGTTTCCACACTTTACATTGGCACAGGCATTTTGGGCTAAAAACACAGGAGGATGCACATTCAAAATGTTATGCCCTTTTATGTGATCATAACTTTTTATTGGATTGCACTGCTATTTTCTGGTTTATGAATTAAACTGTGTAGTATGATAAGGCATGTAGCGGCAGTAGTTATGAACCAATTTCAAAAAGAGTATTACCTGGTGGGACTTTTTAATTTTTATCAAAATTCAAATGGAAATCTGTTGCAAACCAAATGTGCTACAAAGCAACTACAGTACGACCATTTCCCATGGTTTACAGAAACCAGGGGCGGATTTAGGCCGTCTTCTGGGTCTTCCGGAAGATGGTCAGATTTTCAAGTTTACATTGACGGGTATCTATTTTTTCTGTCGGAAGACGGTCAAAAATGGAGGTTGGATCAACAAAGATAACTTGGAAGACTGTCAGAAAATATCTCTGGATCCGCCCCCTGGAAACTTACTGTTTATTCTCTGTTTGTAGTTGTAGACTACAAAAACGCCTCCCATATATAATCCCTGGTCTCGAAAGTGAAGAGAAGAGGAATTATCAGTGCCAAACTTATCTACTGTTATGATGGAGCGATTCTTGTATGATGTCACGTAAAGCTCCTTCTCAAACACATCAATCCAATAAGGTGGGTCTTCACCTAGAAAAATTAATTATTTCCTGTGTCATCATAATCTGCAGACAAAAACTGTATCATCATTATAAAACAAGAACTTATATTTGAACAATTTTAATTTTTTTTTTGAAAGGAAGGGTGAGGGTAGGTTTCTCACAATCAGAGAAAGACATATTTTGATCTTAAATAAGTGAGCACATCTACAGCTTTAGCTATAAATAAATAAATAAATAAATAAATAAATAAATAAATATGCCCTCACTTTTAGCAAACTGTTTGACTATCTGCCTGTCCCGACCATTGAGATTGATAGTCTCTATAGTCCTAGCTTTAGGGTCTGTCCAGTACAGTCTGCGGTTGTCATAATCTATGACCAGGTCCGTGGGCCACAGGACATTCTCATGGACCAGGACCTTCCGGTCACTTCCGTCCAGGTTAGCAGATTCAATCTTGGCATTCAGACCCCAGTCAGTCCAGAAGATCCGTCTAAAGAGAAAATACATCATAAACTAGAGAGAGCACTGTGATAGTTAAGACCTGTACCCAGGCAACATGTTAATAATAATTAGTTTTTGAAAATTACTTTAAAAGATATAAGGAAACTCATTTGTCATTATAATCACTTTTTTTCCCTTCTGAAAAACTGAAAATTTCATCAAAAGAACTTGATATATACAGCTTACAAACAAACATGCCAGTACCAGTGAAAACATAGGAAAATAATACAATAATTTCTAACACACACATAACAGTAACATGAATTCTTTTTGCAAGTACTTCAAATATGTTTAACATGTATTTTTGCATTAACTCTTCACCCCTTCTATTTAGATATCTTATCATATGATGCCATGTATCAAACTGACGAACATCTTAAAGTTATAATGTAAAGATTGTTTCAAAGAACACAAAACCATTTACCTTCATATAATCTTTAAAGATGTTTTTTAATTTACTGACATTCTCATAAATTTTTTTGACATAGCACTTTCTACATGTTTGACTGGGAGAGGATTCAACTTCTGTACCAACAAATACTCTACCACAATTGTGCAGTAACTTAACCATTACTTAATTTCTAACTTCTGTGAAGCAAGTATGTGAAATATTCACTACATACTTTGTTTTTCAACTTCAAAGTCTTACCCAGATGTCGGGTCCACAACAATGGAGTGTGGCTGATCCAGGTTGGAATCGATGATCGTTTTCCTCTTGGAAAGATTAGTGACCCTGGCCTCTGTAAGGTTAGCAATGTGGGCCACCTGTATGTGACCAGCAGCAGCATCAGTCCAGTAGAGTAAACCATGGACCCAGTCCACTGCAAGCCCTCTTGGTTGAGATATAACTGGTAGCTGGAACAAAAAAAGCAACAGCAGTGTCTCAACTGGTGTCCAACTGACACATCTGCCTGCTATCAAGAAAACACACTACTTTCAGTTTTAATATGCTAGCAGATAAACAGCTGCAAACTGAAAGGGTGAAGTTATAGCCTCAGTCACATCAAATTCATTCCAAACAAAAAGGAAAAACAAAAACAGAAATCTGTCGCATTTAAGTTTTCTAATGGCCTACCTTCACTTTCAATTCCCCCACATTGGAAACTGTGGCTCTCCTTCCCCTGGGGTTTGATGATTCAGAATTTGTTCGAGGAATGGGAGCACTCCTGATGAAGTGTGTGGGAGCACCATTCACTATTTCACTGGTCACAAAATAAACTCTGTTTGATTTTACATCCACGTCCATGGCCTCTATGCGACTGGCATTGCTGGTCTGGTGGTAGAAACAAAACTCAATTTTAACAACAGAATATCTAATTAGTAAATTTATGTTCTTATATAAACCCCCCCTTTCTTAATCTTATTTTGAAATTTGCAAAATGTTAACTCTCTGTGAGTTAGTTTTACAAGTGCTGGGATAAATAAAAAATAAACCATAACTAGGAAAAGGTCTTTACAGTCCATTCATCCAGTTCACCTGGGTTAGCATTCATCTATATGCCAGAAAAAATTCTAACAGAGAGGCACTCTGTTTTCACATTACCTGATGAAATCTCTCAGATACAAGAGTGCCCCCGTAAACCAGTGTGCTGTTCATGGCAAGCAAAGCATTCTCAAGGGCCAACAAAATATAGTGGTTATCTGAAAACATATAAATATTTTCTTGGAAAAAAGGGTGACTACGTTTGGAAAGAAAACAAAATACAGTTTAAATCAAAAAAACCAAATAAATAAATAAATGAGTTATATAAAAACAGAAACATATTCCTTGGTCTGTTACAGTTGAGGGTCACGGCTCTAACATTTTGTTCACAGGTTAACAGGATGCCAAGCAGGGGGTTGGGGGGTGGAGGCTGTCTTCTGGGTATTCCAAAAGACAGTCTGAATTTTAAAGTTTACATTTAGGGGCATCTATTTTTATTGTGAAAGACAGTCAAAATGGAGGATGGATCAACAGAGATAATTTGGAAGACTGTCAGAAAATATCTCTGGATCTGCCCCTGAATTAGCACCATGAACGATCACCAACTAGTAATATTCCCAAAGGACTTGAATATTAATAAAACATGTCAACAAATAATCATCATGTAATTTGAAACATTACATCAGTTGCAAAACAATGAAATCAACACTTTGGGATGGCAACAAATCATGTTGGTTGACAATATTTGTGACATTCTGGTTGTATTCAGCTCCTGAGAAAAAGCTACATTCCCCTGCATGGTAACAGCCAACCCTTTGGGTTATATTATATCTTAGTGCTTTAATAACTTACCAACAGCCTTGCAGTGGCCCAGTTCAGGGTCAAATCTATAGCCTGGCCCACATTCACATTTATGGTTCCCTATAAGGTTGGTGCACAGCTGGTCACAAAATCCCCACAATTCACACTCATTTTTATCTATAAGTGAAAAACATTTAAAATAATGAAATGTAACTGCTTTGACAGAAAAACTGGTCACAAACAAAGCATAACAGTTAATTTGGGTAATGGAGAGGCAACGGGATTTCTAAGTTACGTATGCATCTCTATCCTGTTGGTATTCCCATCATTATTCATATTTTTGTGATAAATTTATCATTAGGCATAAAATGATATACAGTGGAAATGGTCAGCTGAGGAGTACCTACCTACACAAAATGTTTCATTGTGATACTCAAAACCATCACTGCAAGTACACCTGTTGTTTTTAGAACTGCAATAACCATTTACACAACTGCTGTTTCCATTGCAGGTCCAATTGCCATCTAAAAATATTTAAACAACAGAATTATCAAATGTGTACAAAAGGGTCCTGCGTGCGTTTAAGTTATCGTTGTGTGTGTGTGTGTGTGTGTGTGAGAGAGAGAGAGAGAGAGAGAGAGAGAGAGAGAGAGAGAGAATGTGCTAACTTACTACATAGATGGGAAGCTTCATCAGTCCCATCTGGGCAGTCATTGTAACCATCGCAGGTTTTTCTCATGCTGATACACATGGGATAATTTTCACATGCGAACTCATCATTCCTACACTGGTCACCTAGGGGGCAGACAGAACCACATTAAATTGATTTTCTTATTATACCAATGTGGCAAGTTTCTGAATCACTAATTCACTTTTAACTGACATAAGCACAAATAATCCATCATGCAACAACACTGTAATATATATTGCAATAAGACGCACAAGAGCAATCTCTAACATATCCAATTTAAAAAAAGGAAATTGTCATAATTCAGCACGCTTAGTTTAAACAAAATCAATTATCAAAGCTGCTCACAGTTTGACTCATCAGAATTGTCCCCACAATCATTTCGCCCATTACACTTCAGTGATGCTCTAATACACTTCGTATTGTTACATCTGATGCGGCCATCCAAACATCTGTGGTCTTCTGCAAAATTAAATAAATACTTCATTCAAAAAATTTCAGATAAATTGATCATTTTACAAAATCCAGTTTGCAAAGACATATTCTTCTTATTGTCTTCAATCAACTCCTTTTTTAATTCTTAGAATAAACATATCAAATGTAAAAAGATAAAAATAAATAAAACCACTTTTTACATTTCCTCAACCCCTTTAAAAAACGGAAATTGACAACACAATAGAACATGAAAATAAGATAATATTTAATTTTGTTTTTCATTTTGCTATTCAACTTATCCATTTTTCACATTAAACTGAAATGGAAAGACTCGGAAACAAATCTCACTTACACAGTGTAGTTATAATGTTGTCAACAAAAATGGGGCAATGTATGTTACATCATGTCAAACAAATCAAATGTTATTACTTTTTGAGATGACTTCACTGAGCCTGGGAAGACATCTTTTCTCAGGGAAAAGATGGCTTCATTTGTACCCTTTGAAATCTTAAATATCTGTATGTTACACCTATTTCCACTGCCAAAGAAAGACACTCACTGCACATAGCAATCTCTTCATCTGAGCTGTCCCTACAGTCTATGTCACCATCACACACATAGGACTGCGGAATGCACTCTGTGGTGTTCCCACACTTAAACTCTCCTGTCTTACAAGCATGGGCTGGAATAGTAATAGTAAAATAATTATACTCAATGGCAAGTAAACTTGTTTTGGCAGCTCTGTCAAAGCAGTATGACCCTGGCCAATGTTATAATGTTTAAACACTTAGAAGTCTTGTGGAGAACAATTACTTTTTATCACTGTCACCCATTTTGGTAAGGTAAAACTTTAAACAATCAAGTACAAAGAATGGGCCTAATTTGTCAGAACAACATGTGATGATTTACTACAGTCCTGTAAACATTTATAAATGCATTCAGTGTGTATGGAATTCTGAGTCCTCAAAAGAAGAATCTTTCTCAGACATCCAGTATCAGTTAAACATAAGTCAAGACACTACTCACGGCAATTGATTTCATCAGATCCATCAGAGCAGTCAGTGGTGTTGTCACATTTCCACTGGAGTGGGATACACGGGCCATTGCTGCAGTGAAAGTCAGTATCTTTGCAATTCTCAGCTGAAAGAAGACATTAAGCATGGACTTAAAATGAAATAAATCATAGGTGTACTTCAGAAAATTAAAAATGATACGCATGACTAAAAATCTCTTTTTTACATGCATTTTTTATTGTTGATCTGCATACCTCCACATTTTTCATCCGATCCATCTGTGCAGTCGGTGATTTGGTCACATCTGCTGGAGTTCCGGATACACTGACCATTATCACAACGCCACTGACTCTCTGAGCACTCTCCATATGCTAAAAACAAAATACGTTTTATCATCTTCTACCCAATTATAACAAAATTTAAGCCTGAAAATTATAATAATGAGAAGATTTTTACCTGTTGTACCTACACTATATTTCAAGTATTTTATACTTTACTTTCAAGATCTCATGTACAGAAATATTTCTGTCTGTCCATCTTTTAGGAAGGATTTCTGACATTAAAGGACAGTATACCTAGTCTATTTCTACATATTGTCATGCAAACATCATCTCTACAATTTTAAATATATATGAGTAATTATACGTAATATGGCACATACTGCAATTCTTCTCATCAGAATGGTCATCACAATCAAAGTCATGATCACAGCGCCATCTACCAGGAATACAGCGGTTGTTTGAACAACGGAAGTATGTTGGCTCACAGGATGCTTTGGCTGAGAAAAGGCACAATGATTATTTAACACGTCTGTCTTTGCTGCTATGTATATTATATTATACTACTAGTAAATACTGTATTAAGAAAAACACACACACATATAAATAAAGTATTAACTCTTTATCTATTCTTTAAGGATGTGTCATCAACAAATTTCATTTAATTGATTAAATTCTTCAGATTTTGTAGATCAGCTAAATTGCATTAAGTACATACTACATTCATCGGGAGGTTCATCACTTGTATCATTCTTCCCACAGTCATGATCTCCATCACATTTCCAAGTGCTGGGAATACACCTTCCAGTTGAATTACATTTAATATAGTCAGCAGGACACTTTAGACTGGTACAGTTATCAGGCTCGTCACTACGATCAGCGCAGTCATAGTCTGTGTCACAGCGCCAAACGTACGGAATGCATTTGCCATTGTTACACTGGAATTGGTTGGAGCGACAGGTAAGGCTTGCTGAAATTTTTAAAACAATATTTAAAAAAACAAATATATTCAATCTTATTAACTTCTCTATATATATAAAAAAAACAAGAAGCTCAGGATTTTCTTCAGGTATTCAATTCTAGTAACTTTTTAATTCTTTAAATTGATCTTTCAACGAAATTGGTCATATTTCAAGGTTATGGAATAAAATCCCACAAACTGATTTTTCCACAAATTATCCAACTTACCATACACCAAAATTCATTTCATTCATTGTTAACTTACGACAATCTTTTTCATCCACTCCATCATAGCAGTCATTGTTGCCATCACACCGCTGCATCATGGGAATGCATCGAGAGTGCTCCCCTGCCAAACACTTAAACTGATTCTTCATACACGTGTAAGCAGCTTGTGAGATAAAAAGGTTAAAATTAAACCTTAATGCTACATAGGTATCAATCATAATAATACATGTTTACTAAATACAGATTCAACTTTTCGTTGTAAAAGCTTTTTTGGCAAAGGTGAGATGGACAAAATTTCTAAGAAAAGATTATCAAAGTAGAAAATAAATGTCAATTTAACAAAAAACAAATTCTATTCCTCATCAGCACAACTTGTAAGCAGATTCAAAAATGTCTACCAATACAATGTCTTNTATGGCAAGTTTATGAATCACTAATTCACATTTAACTGACATAAGCACAAATAATCCGTCATGCAACAACACTAATATATACTGCAATAAGATACACAAGAACAATCTCTAACATATCCAATTTAAAAAAAGGAAATTGTCATAATTCAGCACGCTTAGTTTAAACAAAATCAATTATCAAAGCTGCTCACAGTTTGACTCATCAGAATTGTCCCCACAATCATTTCGCCCATTACACTTCAGTGATGCTCTAATACACTTTGTATTGTTACATCTGATGCGGCCATCCAAACATCTGTGGTCTTCTGCAAAATTAAATAAATACTTCATTCAAAAAATTTCCCATCAGATAAATTGATCATTTTACAAAATCCAGTTTGCAAAGACACATTCTTCCTATTGTCTTCAATCAACTCCTTCTTTTTTAATTCTTAGAATAAACATATCAAATGTTAAAAGATAAGAATAAATAAAAACACTTTTTACATTTCCTCAACCCCTTTAAAAATGGAAATTTGCCACACAATAGAACATGAAAGTACGGTAATATGTAATTTTGTTTTCCAATTTGCTATTCAACTTATCCAATTTTTCATATTAAACTGAAATGGAAAGACTCGGAAACAAATCTCACTTACACAGTGTAGTTATAATGTCTTCAACAAAAATGGGGCAATGTATGTTACATCATGTCAAACAAATCAAATGTTATTACTTTTTGAGACGACTTCACTGAGCCTAGGAAGACATCTTTTCTCAGGGAAAAGATGGCTTCATTTGTACCCTTTGAAATCTTAAATATCTGTATGTTACACCTATTTCCACTGCCAAAGAAAGACACTCACTGCACATAGCAATCTCTTCATCTGAGCTGTCCCTACAGTCTATGTCACCATCACACACATAGGACTGCGGAATGCACTCCGTGGTGTTCCCACACTTAAACTCTCCTGTCTTACAAGCATGGGCTGGAATAGTAATAGTAAAATAATTATACTCAATGGCAAGTAAACTTGTTTTGGCAGCTCTGTCAAAGCAGTATGACCCTGGCCAATGTTATAATGTTTAAACACTTAGAAGTCTTGTGGAGAACAATTACTTTTTATCACTGTCACCCATTTTGGTAAGGTAAAACTTTAAACAATCAAGTACAAAGAATGGGCCTAATTTGTCAGAACAACATGTGATGATTTACTACAGTCCTGTAAACATTTATAAATGCATTCAGTGTGTATGGAATTCTGAGTCCTCAAAAGAAGAATCTTTCTCAGACATCCAGTATCAGTTAAACATAAGTCAAGACACTACTCACGGCAATTGATTTCATCAGATCCATCAGAGCAGTCAGTGGTGTTGTCACATTTCCACTGGAGTGGGATACACGGGCCATTGCTGCAGTGAAAGTCAGTATCTTTGCAATTCTCAGCTGAAAGAAGACATTAAGCATGGACTTAAGACAAAATAAATCATTCGTGTACTTCAGAAAATTTAAAATGATACGCATGACTAAATATATCTTTTTACATGCAATGTCAGCTAAAGAGGATTTTTATTGTTGATCTGCATACCTCCACATTTTTCATCGGATCCATCTGTGCAGTCGGTGATTTGGTCACATCTGCTGGAGTTCCGGATACACTGACCATTATCACAACGCCACTGACTCTCTGAGCACTCTCCATATGCTAAAAACAAAATGTTTTATCATCTTCTACCCAATTATAACAAAATTTAGGCCTGAAAATTATAATAGTGAGAAGATTTTCACCATTTCAATTCTTATTTTATACTTTACTTTCAAGATCTTATGTACAGAAATATTTCTGTCAGTCCATCTTTTAGGAAGGATTTCTGACATAAAAGGACAGTATACCTGGTCTATTTCTACATATTGCAATGCAAACATCATCTCTACATTTTCAAATATATATGAGTAATTATACGTAATATGGCACATACTGCAATTCTTCTCATCAGAATGGTCATCACAGTCAAAGTCATGATCACAGCGCCATCTACCAGGAATACAACGGTTGTTTGAACAACGGAAGTACGTTGGCTCACAGGATGCTTTGGCTGAGAAAAGGCACAATAATTATTTAACATCTGTCTTTGCTGCTATGCATATTATATTATATTATACTACTAGTAAATACTGTATTAAGAAAAACGTAAATAAAGTATTAACTCTTTATCTATTCTTTAAGGATGTGTCATCAACAAATTTCATTTAATTAATTAAATTCTTCAGATTTTGTAGATCAGCTAAATTGCATTAAGTACATACTACATTCATCAGGAGGTTCATCACTTGTATCATTCTTCCCACAGTCATGATCTCCATCACATTTCCAAGTGCTGGGAATACACCTTCCAGTTGAATTACATTTAATATAGTCAGCAGGACACTTTAGACTGGTACAGTTATCAGGCTCGTCACTACGATCAGCGCAGTCATAGTCTGTGTCACAGCGCCAAACGTACGGAATGCATTTGCCATTGTTACACTGGAATTGGTTGGAGCGACAGGTAAGGCTTGCTGAAATTTTATAAAACAATATTTTAAAAAACAAATATATTCAATCATATTTACTTCTCTATATATAAAAAACAAGAAGCTCAGGATTTTCTTCAGCACATTCAATTATAGTAATTTTTTTAATTCTTTAAATTGATCTTTCAAAGAAATTGGTCATACTTCAAGGTTATTGAATAAAATCCCACAAACTGATTTTTCCACAAATTAACTTAGCATACACCAAAATTCATTTCATTCATTGTTAACTTACGACAATCTTTTTCATCCACTCCATCGTAGCAGTCATTGTTGCCATCACACCGCTGCATCATGGGAATGCATCGAGAGTGCTCCCCTGCCAAACACTTAAACTGATTCTTCATACACGTGTAAGCAGCTTGTGAGATAAAAAGGTTAAAATTAAACCTTAATGCTACATAGGTATCAATCATAATAATACATGATTACTAAATACAGATTCAACTTTTCATTGTAAAAGCTTTCTTGGCAAAGGTGAGATGGACAAAATTTCTAAGAAAAGATTATCAAAGTAGAAAATAAATGTCAATTTAACAAAAAAACAAATTCTATTCCTCATCAGCACAATTTGTAAGCAGATTCAAAAATTTCTACCGATTCAATGTCTTAAAAATATTCTGCTCCCATTCAAAGTCATTTATGTCTTACATACCACAGTTATATTCATCAGAGCCATCTGCACACTGCTTCACTCCATCACAAATCTGCATAGGAGATATACACTCCTGATGAACAGCATCATGGCATTGGAACAAACCAGGCTGGCGACAATGGTATTCAGCTGAAATAAAAATTATTATTTATGCATTTGCTATGTAAATTTGTAGTATTTGAAGCTACATGGCAGCTGAATGCCCCAGAGATGAGTTAGTATCATGAAAATGAAGCCTTTACATTTAAGTTCTTTTCTCATTTGCTTCTATTTGCCACATTCAAAAAACACACTTGGTTATTAGCCTGTTTACTCATGTTAACATGTATGCACACTTACGACAGTCCTCTGGTTCATCTGACCCATCTCCACAGTCATCTTGTTTATCGCACTTCCACCAAAATGGAATACATTTAAAGGTATTTGTACAGGTAAACTGGGAGCTAAAACAAACAAAATATTGAAGTGATACTATCAGTAGATATTTGTGGCAAGTAACTCAAATGTGGTAGCACTTCAACCTTTTCTATTTTTTATTCAAATGAATACTTTGTTATCAATTATACTATCAAAACAAAAATGGAAAATATTTTTTCTATTTCCTTTGACAAAAATAAAATAACCTACAAATGAAAAATATTTAAGGTTAAGGTTATGGTCTTAGAATCCAAGTAAAAAAAAAACAAAAAAAAAACGGATGATATGCTATTTCTCACATCTAAAAAAAAAAAAAAAAAAAAACCAAAAGTACATTTTATCTTTCACCCTCTTCATACATTCTTCACTAGAATTCATATTTTGAAATTCTTAACAATTCTTATTGTATAAACAGCCATTACTGACCTAGTACAGTTTGAAAGGCATGTTTTCTTATCTGAGGCCAGGTAATGGTTCTCTGGACAGGCACAAGTCCTGTCTTTACCACCAGGCTTTATCAGGCAGAGATTTAGGCAGCCACCATTTTTGTAGCAGGGGTTCTCGGAGTCTGGAGCTAATAAATGGAAACAAAAATTAAAAAGTTATTCTTCAAGAAAAACTGATTTTTGATAATTTAAAAATATGTAATTTCCAACACATCATCCTACGAACATTTGTTAGTTGTGGAAAAAACTCAGCAAATGTACAGAAATTAGTTGTCTGAACTGCTAGGTAGACATATGACATTCAGTTCCCATCTGTGTCCTGAACAAAAATGTCTTTCTTCGTGGTACATATTAAGTTAATAACATTTCATACGGGAATACAGAAAAACAGACACAAACATATACATACGATGAATCTGTCGAAGTGGATGCAGAATATGAATGTCCATGGGTCTGTGAACAAAACTTGTCACATTAGTCATGTTAGCTCCAGAGAACTTGTTGGCACTATACACAGACATTTTCTCCCAGTCCGTCCAATAGATCAAATCCTCAAATGTCGTCAATGCAAAGATGTGCGGTAACTCTCCATTAATAATAAGTCGGATATTCTTCCCATCCAAATCCGCCATTGCAATATAATCCAACCTAGCATCCGCCCAGAATATGGTCTCCGTTATATAATCAATTGTCATTGCATTAGGCCAGCTGAGATTTGTGGTCACAATTTTAATTTTTTGTGATCCATCCATTCCCATCCTTCCAATGTGGGCATCCTCTCCCCAGTCAGTGTAAAACAGGTACCCCTTGGCAGGGAACACCTCGATAGCCCTAGGCTCCTGTAGACCATTGTTCATAAGTATCTTCCTGTACATGCCATTGAGCTTGGAAACTTCTATAGTGTCTGTGGTCTTGTCACACCAGTAGAGGTTGCGACCCACCCAGTCTACCGCTATTCCATCTGGGTTTTTCAGGGTGGATTTGTGAAGGGTCTGGAAATAATGAAATTGGTACATGTATGTATGCAATGAAAGTGTAATTCAATATCTTACCAAAAATTGAGCAGAGAATTAAATACAAAATTAAACTAATACAGGTATAGGTGAACAGGTAACTCAGTTGTGATCAAGTCTGTCAGAGTGAACAGACAAAACAGGCTACAGGTAAATCAAATATGTGGATCTATCATAAATAAAAACTGTTTAGCTATGAAAAAAAGAAACCTAACGAAACGATTTTCACAAATATAACATAATTCTTAACCGAATGTCTGTACATAAAAAGAGAGATCATAACTTAATCGTACAATGACATAAATGCAAACAGAAGCACCTGACCTAAAAAATCTGAATTATCTGAGAAAATGAAAAGTTGACATATGCAGCTCAAACAGAAAGTGACTGTCACTAAAATTCCGCTCCTAAAAACTAACCTGTGTCACATTCGTCCCATTGAGGCTCATCTTGGAAATGTTGCTTCCACTTACAGTGACATCAGACCAGTACACCATCTGCTCTTTCCAGTCAAAGTCAATAGCAACAGCATTCTTCAGATTGGATGCCAGACGTGTTCTTGTCAGGTTGGGGTAAACAAGGCGGATATAGTAATGGTTTGCCACTAACAAAACTGCATGATGGATCTCTGTAAGATGACAAAGGTAGAGGTAGACAAAAGAAAGGACCACTTTGGATGACACGTGTAAATCAATGCTTGGCAGTGGAGTTAACATATTAATTTAAAATTTTGCAACTGTAAATATTTTTACTAAAAAAACTGCTTTCTTGGTTCATAATGAACTGGGAGAACTGCATGGCTTCAGTGTTTTATTCATGAGCAGACCACCTTCTCCCCTGTTGCAGATAAAATGCTAACATATCACTTTACTCACTAATGCAGTTTTAACATGAAAATATCACTGAACTTACTGTCATTATGGCGACAAGTTCTGCCTCCCTGTAAAGTGTATCCCTTGGCACAGGAGCAGGAATAGCTGCCCACAGTGTTCTTACAGTAGTGACTGCATGGATAGGAGGTTTTACACTCATCAATATCTATAATTATAATTAAATAATTGTAATCATTGTAACAAGTAAAGGTGGATAAGTGCAAGGTATGTTACTGTAAGATTAGTGAAAACATGTGGGCAAAAGCAAATGTAAATCAGAGTGTAAATCACAATTTTCTACACACACACACACACACACACACACACACACACACACACACACACACACACACACACACACACACACACACACACACAAAACATGTTACAAACAAAATAAAGAAAAAGAGGAAATGAAACCTACAACTGCAAATGTTATTATGCTTTTCTACAACCTTAAATTCAATCTCTAAAAATTTCTTGGAACTTTATGTCACTCGATATCATCATGCAAGGTTCGAATACCAGTTTCAAATAACTAAAACTTTCAGCCCTTAGCATTCTTCTTAACTGCACCTGTTTCTATGACAAAAGCTTACTCATGGCAAACTGTAATCAAGAAGACATAACAGAAGATATGTGCATACCTTTGCAAGTCCGTTTGTCATTTGCTAGTCTATATCCTGGGTAGCAATCACACTCATAGGCAATGGTCATGTTGCGACAAACCTGAGCGCACTGGTTACTACCATCCACACACTTTAGCCCTGTGATGGTAAAATTGCAAATATGCTGTTAATAGTTAAAATAATGAATTCAACCAATGTAAAACAATGAAATTTTCTTACTTCCTTGAAGCCTTGTGATGGTGAAATTGCAAATATACTGTTAATAGCTAAAATAATGAATTCAACCTATGTAAAACAAAAACCTTCCAACTTCCGCATAAGTCATTTTAGTATATTTCAAATAGGGTTCACATTTGTTACTACTTATAGCATGTCTGTGTGCAAGCGCACATGAGTACAAAGGTGAGTGTGCATGCAAGTATGTGTGTGTGTGTTTGCGCGTGTGTACGTCTGTGTGTTTACATTCATGTGTTTGCCTGACTGGTGCATGTTTCTACTTACCACATGGTAATTCATCAGAGAAATCTCCACAGTCATTCTTCCCATTGCACAACAGTGTTTTGTTGATGCACACACTGTTGTCACACATGTACATATCATTTCCTCCACAAGGGGGCGTCTTGGAACACATCCGCGGGTCCTCGTCTGATTGGTCACCACAGTCAAAGTACTTGTTACACTTATATTCTTTAGGAATACACTGTTTGCTATTTTTGCACTGCCATTCTGTTTCTGAGCAGTTGTGGTGGACTGAAAAGCCAAATACTTGAAAGTGAGTCTATAATGCTATCAAGCAATGAAGCTCTGTGAGGGTACACCAATTTTCCAAATAAAAGGAGTGGGAAAATGTTTGAGACTAAGAAATGAACCATTTGGTTGAATGGCTTTGGTGTAAAAATTCCTTTTTCCCTCTAGAAGTTCTGAAAAACCTCAAGCCTTTGTGAAACATAAACTAATTTTCACTCACTGACAGCAAAACAAAGTGAAGCAAATATCATAACTTAAACAGCAAACTTGGGATATAAAAGAGAATAAAGTTCTACACTTACCACAATTCTCATCTGAATTGTCTCCACAGTCGTCATCACCATCACAGTAGAAAGATTGCTTTATACAGCGATCATTTTGACACTGGAACTCATTGACATCACACAGTACGACAGCTGTAAGCAACAATTGGTAACCATGGAGATACATGCTGTTGTATCAAATAAGTTAGCTGTATGGAAGCTAATAAACTTCTACATTCATGTTCAATGTAAACATATTAAGAAAAGGAGATGGATACATCTATCCACTTTTAAGCCTTAATCAGAAGTTTGGAAATCTTATATTTTTCTAGATTGAGTCATCAAAAAAAAAAATGATTTTAAATTAATAATCTGTTTTTTTCCCTTTTTCATGAAAAAAGGGAACCCTTATGAAAATCTGCCCATATACTGATAACATACTGCAATTATTTGCTGAGTGTTCATCTGATCCATCCTCACAATCTTGGTCACCATCGCACATCCATGCTCTAGGAATACAGCGGCCAGTGTTGGGACAGTGAAATTCATCTGATTTACAGGTCCTGTTTGCTGTGAGAAAAAAAAACTTTCAATTAAAAGAAAAAAGTCAAATTTCTGCCCATGTAATTCTTATAAAATAAATATTTATCAGTTTTAGTTCCAAAGCAACAAGTTACTTAACCAAAATATACTTACTGCAGTTCTGGGCCTCGTCTGATCCATCTGGGCAGTCAGCATTACCATCACACTCCCAGACTGAAGGGATACAGGAGAACCCATCATGGCACTGAAACTGACTGGATGCACATGAGTAGTCTAAAAGAAAGAAAAAAAAAAAACGCACACGTACCAAGGGTTATTTCTTTGGCATGCTGAGGCTTTATTATTGTACTGGAACTGCTGAATAATGATTTTTTTAAATCATGTCATTTTTTATGGTACATAATTATCAAGGAATAATGATGTTCTATTACTCACTACATCTCTTCTCATCTGACATATCTCCACAGTCGTCCTCCCTGTCACATTTCCAGTTGCTAGGGATGCAATGTCCACTGTTTGAACACTGGAAATCTGAGCTGTTGTTGGAGCATTTATTTCTGATAGCTAAAATGGAAAAGGATGTGGCAAATAATTCAGTTATTTTCATCACTAGAAGGTTAGAAAACCATGCCTACAGCAGTCTAAATATTTTCTACAACGTGAATACGGAAGACCATCAATCTCTGCTACAGCTCTTGTGAATTTCATATTCACATCAAAGTGAACCAATTCTTTTTTTAATATGAAAAATCAAAATAAAATTATGTTTCACTAACGTGGACAGTTCAGTTCATCACTGTTGTCCCAGCAGTCATTATATCCATCACACTTCCAGCTAGGGAGGATACAGGCTGTGGTTGTATTACATGGTATCAGACCTGGTGGCTGGCGACCTATACTGTCTATGGTAAAGTTTGAACATCCAACAGGGGCTGGAAGATGAGAGAATATTTTGTATTAATTTTATATGCTGAGAAGGGTGGTGATTTAACAATCTGTTAGTAGGGCATTAAATGCTGTTTCAAGTTTAATTAAAATAGTCAACTACTGTCGGAAGTACTAATTCACTGTACACTTTATTTCTACTTCCTTGAATATGGAAATCATATGTATCAATTTTTAACTAATGAACTGTAACCACTACCACATTGCTGTCTGATTTTCAACAATTAAAAACTTAATTTTTGAAAATGACGATAATAAAATCATGGCCCAAATTTACAAGTATGTCCACTTACGACAGCCCTTTTCATCAGAAGCGTCTTCACAGTCTTTCTTTAAGTTGCACTTCTTACTGCTACTGATACACTTGTCGTCACTGGCACAGCGGAACTCTGTCAACTTGCAACGACACAGAAGTTCATCAGAGTTGTCTCCACAGTCATCTTTGCCATCACACTGGGTTTCATTTTTGACACACCGGTGGTTTAAACAACCAAAGAAACCAGCTGGACATTTTCGATACCCTGGAAAATACACAGAAATTTTGCGTGTCATATCTATTCACTTTTTCTGACTGTGCAAATGAAACTACTGAAGTTAGTTTAAAATGTCAAATATGCACTTAAAAACATTGCAATTATCAAAATTTAAATTAAAACATTTTTATTCTTTCAATGAAAATGGATAAAAGACCAATGTGCATCACATGCTCAGTAGCAGAAAACGTACCACAGTTCAATAATTATAATTTTCTCAGCAAAACAAATCAGGATCCTTTCTTCTTATTTATTCAATTCTTTAAAATTTAAAACCCACTCACTGCAATAGGTTGTGTTCTCATCTTGACCCAATGGGCAGTTAATGATGCCATCACAGGTGAGTTCAAATGGAATACAAACACCTTCAGAGCAGTCAAACATGTCTTCCGCACACACCTGCTTGGACACAGCTAGAAATTATGGAAATAAAACAAATAGAAAAATTCACAAAGGACAAAATATCTTCCATTTTAATGAAAACTTCCACCAGAATTCCACAAGGAAGGAATTCTCTGATGGAACCACCACTTCAAGTGTTTCATGGTAAAAAACTGATATATAGAGAAAGAGGTACATTATCTTTATCAAGAAAGATTTTATTTCAATTTATTTAACTTTTTTAACTCTACCTACCATTAAGTGACAGGACTTTCAAACAAATTTTCAACATGAAACGAGTTACATCTGAGGAAATGAATACAAAGGGAAATTGTTTTGATAAAAAGTTGGGGCTTGAATACTCATAAGGCAGTTCGACTTAGAGAAGGCAGTTTTAGGATTGAAAGTGAACATACACATGCCATAAGGCTGTAGCTAATATTGGTCACACACTCCTAAGTAAATTTAAACCACAGCTAACGTGTAGAACAAAAGGCTCGGCCATGCTGTATTAGACAGACAAGCAAGTCATGTATGCGTGCATTGTATAGTCTGTTGCACTCTTGTTACTCACTAGTGTAGTAGCCAATCAGAGACCGTGGTTTAAGCTGGATACAACACTTGTCGCCGAGCTGTACGTGAAAATTACTTGTGTATTGTCTCGCCTGTGGCTCGTGTATTGTCGTAATATTTCACATACAGCTTGGTGACACATATTGAATCTATCACATAATACTTACAAGTGCAGGTGATGTTATCTGGCTGTAACTCATAACCAGGGAAACAGGAACAATGAACCACAGCATACATATCAGGATTGCAGATGTGCTGGCAGTGTCCGTTGTTCATTCTACAAGGGTTGGCATGGCCTGGAAATAAATCATGAAACTCTTCTCAGATAAGGTGGCTGAGATATCAGTGCATTCAAGTGCTGTCTTCCAGAAGTCAATTAAAATACAGAAAGTTCCATGGTATCAAAGTGAGCAAAAGGAAAAAGAATAGAAAAATAGATCTAACAGAAAGACGACTAAATTGCAAATAAGCCAGCATGGTTAAGCAAAACAGTAATACCCTTGCAACTGATTGCATTGGTGAAGTTATTTTAATAAATAATCAGCATTATTTCATGAATCAACACAAATGTATTATTGAAACACAAATACATTATTAAAAAATATCATAGTTCATTGAAAATGTTTTTACAGAATATAACCACGATGCAATTTTACTTACAGTCATTAGTATCATTGGCTACGGCAACTAAACCCATGGGCTGACGAGGGATGCTGGTTTTCAGAGGAGTCAGCTCTGAACCATCGTACTTCTGTGCCCTCATTACTGCACGCAGAATCCAGTCTGTCCAGTACAGGTAGTCCCCATACACTGCCAAACTAAAGCTATACTGGAGGTGGTGGTTACTGCTTATGACAACCTGCAAATGTCAGTTTGAGAATAAATGGCATCTTTAAAATATGTTGTATATAAAGACAATAAACCTCAAAAGAGAGTCCAAGCCCTTGGCCTGCTTAAGAACAAATAAACTTATGCATTACCAGGTACACCAATCTACCATGTTTTTCTAACAAGTTAAGGCTTACATATAGTATTAAAATTAAGAATACTTTTTTGATTAAAAATAAAAGCTATAGAGTCAAACAGCTTAAGTTCATAACAATATCCGATTTCACTGTAATCTAGCAATAATTTCAAATATTCTCTCATTACCCGACACTCAGTGCCATCCATGTTACATCTCTCTATCTTATCCAGCCTGGCATCAGACCAGAACAGTTTTTGTGCTCCGTGATCAATGGCCAGACCATTGGGAGTCTTGATGTCAGTTGTAATGATGGACTCCTTGTCATATCCCATCAGATAGGCTCTCTGAATGCTGGGGGAACGCTCATTCCAGTTGGTCCAATACATTCTCCTGAAAAGGAATTATAGGTTGCAGTTTTCACAGATGTCATCATAAAGGGCTGTAGTTTTAATATTTTGAAAGAGTAGGCTCTCTGAATGCTGGGGGAACGCTCATTCCAGTTGGTCCAATACATTCTCCTGAAAAGGAATTATAGGTTGCAGTTTTCACAGATGTCATCATAAAGGGCTGTAGTTTTAATATTTTGAAAGAGAGACACTGCCTGTTGGCAAATCTCTGATACGTAAAAAAAAAGCATATTTTTGTGTGCCTTTCTGCAACTATCACAGGGTTTATGGTTTGAATAAGAATCTATCCCTCATGAAATCATTGATCAAAAGAACCAAAAGAACATCTCCGAATGTATTGTATCTTACCTGTATATCTAGACCATTCTACAGCATAAATAAAATGCTATGTAAAAATGTTTACCATTAAAGATCATGAACAGCAATAAAAGTAAAATGTCTATGAAGGCAAACAGCATTCTACTGTATGAGTGCTATTCAAAAAGTATCCCAATAAAATAAGAATATTTGATGATTAGCCAGGGGGAGGATGGAAGTGGTTCACAATTTTTAAGTTTACATTGACAGGCATTTAATTTTTGCAGTCAGAAGAAGCTCAAAAATGGGGGATGGATCAGTTAAGATAATTTGGAAGACTGTCAGAAAACATTCCTGGATCCGACCCAGATTATCCTACTCACGAGTCACAGCTGTCAATGGCCAGAGCCCTGGGGTGGTCCTCCACACCCAGTTTCACCACAGTCTCCCTGGTGGCACTGATGCGGAGAGGACTGACACTGATCCTGTTAATGGTGGAGTCTGTGTAACTGGTCCAGTAAAGTTCCTGGAACACAGGGTCGTAGGCTAGGCCTTCTGCCGAGCCAACATCTGCAGAAAAGAAAGATATCTTGTTTGAATGTCTGTTACATTTATAATAATTGGATAAGTAATGATTTTATAGAAATCCACAATAAATATATCCCATGTTTAAAGTGATATCCACTCTTCATTTTGGCACAACAGTTTTTCAGATACTTTCCAATGGTTATTGAATCCATTCCCACATAAAAGTGAATCAATCTATTTTTTTAAGTCTATTTTTGTAATAATCTCTTCAGTGATTATTACACAGGGTAGCCATCTATGAAGGTCCATGTGGTCTGATGGCAAGCACAGATTTCAGAGTAATTGCAATAACTGCTGTTTTGGTGTAAAATGAAATTTATATTTGTATTTTGCAGTGTATTCATTGTGGAATTTTGAATTTCATATGAAAAGTTATCCCTCTAAGCTCCCCACAGTCTTATGTATACATTTAAAGTGATTTTCAATACTTACTCTCTACTTTCACGCTAAAATCTGATCCACTGTAAGAAACACTTTGAATATTTCCACTCTGAATGTCACTGAAGAAAATAGTCTTTGTTTTGGGGTCAAATGACAGGCCTATCACATTCTTCATGGAGTGCTCATTCTCAATGGCTGGAATGGGTGTGTTTGTGCTTTTCTCTGTGAGATGCAGTGACTGGATACTGTTCACTTGGGAATACAGCAAGAAGGCTTCATATTCTGCAAGCAAAGAAGTCATACATAGAGCTTCTATCACCACAGTTCTGACTTTAGTAGACGGATTTGTCAAAAGGGATGTGAGGTAGAATTCTATAAACATGTTGTTAAGCTTTAGAAATTTCAATTAGAAATTTTCTGGCACAACAATAATGGTCCAAATGTTCACTTACCTTCACACTCTCCATTCTGTGTAACTTTTCCATGTGAACAGTGACAGGTCCTGTTGTTGTTCCCAATGTACAGACACAGTTCCTTACAACCACCATTATTAACACTGCAGGTGTTGTTACCTTCAAGAAATAAGTAAATAAAATGTAATGAAAACACCTTTTTACGACAGCAAATAAATAGCATCTCTTGAAAGTTGTTCCTCTATTGATGTATTAAACAGATGGAACAATTTCTTAGGTACTTTTAACCCTTTACTCCATGTCACCTTACTTAAACAGGAGTACCTAACCAATGACTTAAAGGGTTCAGGCCTGGATGAACACTATGACCCACTATAGACCCATCTTTTTTTGAGATACAATTATTTGATGCTTGTGAATAAATAAAAAATCTTTCCAGTTCATTAATATGAGAATAACTAATTTGTTTCATAGATTGTTTTTTTTTCAGACACAACACAATTTATTTAGAATAGCAATAACTGTCTACTTTCATGGCCATACATTTGACCATTATTAGCTAAGGTGCATACTAAACAAATAGAGCAATACAGTAACATGATGTTGCACAATACATTAACTGTACCTGTTTGTCTTCCTTGGTCATATATTTTCACATCAGTAGGTTTAGCAGGCCTGGGATCTGTGTTTCTCCACATGATAATTGGAGCTGACCCATTTTTGTGAGCTCTCATTATTGCTCCATAGGGGGAGCTAGGTGGACTGAACAGTCAATGAAAACTATTAGCTTTTTGTAATAATGGTTTTAGTGTTTGTAAAGAAGTTTCCATCAACAAGATGAGTGGACTTTGAGATAATCTGTTCTGATTAAAATCAATATTCATCTCCTTTGTCCATTAAATAATTAATTATATAATTATATGACAGTGTTCCAATTTTGTATCTCTTTCAAACTCAACATATCATTAGGTAACTCTTCATTACTGAAAGGGTACAAAACACCTTTCGTAAACCATGTATTAACTTTCACATTCATATGTTAAGCTGACTGAGCCTTGTGATTTTCGTTCTTTTTCCACAGCAAATCATATTACCAGTTTAACTTACTTATCAGTCCAGTAGATATAATCCCCAAACACGGTGATGGAGGTTGGATCTGTAAGATTTTCCCTGATAATGTACTTGGCTTCACTACCATCCAGGTTGCTGCTACAGATCACGTCAAGGGCTTTGTCACACCAGTATAACTTCCCTGCATCGTAATCTATGGTCAAACCATATGGCTCCTTAATAAAATCTGTGAGATTCATAATTGTTCTTCTCTCTGAGCCATCCAACCTTGCTCGCTCAATTCTTGGCCTGGTACCCCAGTCGGTCCAAAACATATACCTGGCAAACAAAATTTCACAAAAACAAAAATCAGAAAAAAATTGGGTTCAAAAAATGTCACTCCTAATAATTCAGATTAAAATAATAGTAAATTTAATACTAGTTGCAGTCATGATTCAATGAGAAATATTTTACACTAAGACTACTTTTATTTTGATAAACAATTGATACTGGCTTTAATAAAGATGCTGTTCTGCTACTTCATTATCTTTTGCAGCTGACTCATTCCCCATTTCTGAACAAGGCAGTAGCACTTACCCAAGAACTGGATGAACCACAATGGCTTTAGGCCTGTCCAACTCCGAGGCTATCAAAACACGTCTGAAGGAGCCATTCAGTCTGGACACGTGAATGACGTCCAGTACACTGTCAGTCCAGTACAGGTTTTCTAAGATAAGCAAATAAAAAATTTCATATTACCAATGCATTGGTGCATTGTTAATAAGGTTTTTTACATACTACAGTAGCATATAATAGTATAAAATGTAGAAATGTTGTAAATAATCAGCAACACATTTTCTCACATACATGCATGTACACTAATAATAATAATATCTGTTATTTTCCTTTGACCCTCTGACCTGCTATCCAGTCTACAGCTAATCCCTCCACTGAGCTGATTCCATCAGAAACTAGCGTCTGTCGGCCCGTCAGGTCGCGTCGGATCCTGGAGATGGTCTTGGAATTGCTGTCCACCCAAAGCACGTAGTTCTTTGCTATAGAACAATTCAACACTTTTAATGATATGTGAATGTTAATGATGACAAAATGGCTAAAAATCACTAAATGTAGAGAAAAAAATTTGATCCAAGAAACTGCAAATGCCTCAATAATAATATCAAAACCTGCTTTTCATGACATTTCATTTAAAAAAACATCTGAAGAATGAGACCACCAAAAGGAGAAGCCACCAACTTTTACAAACCAGTCTCATATCACTGCTATTGACCTTCACATAAGGAATGCTATTTCAAAAAGATATTCATACCTGCATAAAAATCCACAGCATCCACAACTGCCACCCTAGATATGGGTGGTATTGCTGCCTGCTGAGGGGCAGGGACTAAGTCGAGAGAGATACCATGGATTTCTGTCTCCAAGGAAAACAACAGGAATGATCGGATACCTAAGAAATGTGAAATGTCTTTAAGCAGTGGTGAGGTAGCAAATATCTTCTGTAAGTCAACATAACTTTGAGCTTTCTGGCTAAAATATTTCACTATACAATGCAGCATGGGGCACGTTTAAATGATAAACAATATTATCAAATGTGGGACTTTGAAGTGATCATAACAAATTGCCGATGTAATAAAGTTTTTTTTCCTATAATCATCGCTTTAAAAGAAATCTATGAAGCATACAGATCAGCAGATCAGCATTAGCATTTTCTGGAGGGACACCATTATAATTAGTAAAAGACAAGACAATTGCTGGGTTAAAACTATTTTTTTAATTAGTATTTTTAGGAAATTATTCAGAAACCAAGCTCTGCAATTCAAATGTTGTACTGGCAATTAAACTGCTGAGCTTATTAGCACGTCCATGCTGTTATGTCATGCAATTGGTTGCTGTTAATAATATTTCATTTGCGGCAACTAAATGTGAGAAACACCAAGCACAGGCTTGCTGCCATGTATTAGTTAGGGGTTAGTGTATCTTGTAGTTAATGGTAAATAATGCCCTACTTGTATTTCAACATGTTAATGTTCTTTACATTAACAAAGCAATTTCAGTTTCTATACAAATATCATTTTTAAGCATTATTTATGCTAGAGTCTAAAGCACATAGAATTTTTTTTCCAAAAACATTTATAGTTAAAAGTTACCAAATCTATCTCCATTATCAAAGACCAAGTTACATCATAATAATTTACACACAAAGTCTATTGAAGCTGGGTAAGCTTTGCTTAAGTCAAAATATTACTGCTTGGTTAATTTTGCATGTCTCTTGTAAAAACTGTATCACATTGAACAAATGTGATTTTTAAATTGTATAAGCATATGGTAAAAACATTTTAGTGATTGTAGAAGCACTGCAAAAAGTAATTTTTAAGTTCAATTAGTCTAATTATTGCTGAATGCTGCTTAAATTTCAAAACTTTGTCATTAGCACAAATATTGGATTGATAAAATATTTTTTTCCAAATAAGAATTGAATCTTTTTGATTGTACTGATACATTATTTGCAATTAAAATACACAAGAAAGTATAATTTTTGAAATATTCCACTAAATGACTATTACTAATTTCATGCCTACAGTAATCAAAGGTATAATAACTAAATATAACTATAATATACTTTGCACTGCCTGGGAAAAACTGTTGTAAATGTTAAGCATAATGTAACATGAAGCAAAATGTGTAACATTAGAAGTCAATACCTTAAAATACAACAATACATGATGCATTCACAGAGGTTAAAAAAACTTGCATCAACAAAAAGCTTGTAGGTTTTTTTACTCTCTCTCTACATATATATATATATATGTTATCACATAAAAAAAAATCTAAGCATGCTAACAGGACTTTTAAATTGTACTATATAAATATGAAATAAATAAATATCCTTGTATGGCATGGTTTCACACTATGAGGGCTTCATGCAAATGGGTGACAGTTTATAATGAGAAAGTGAATCCTGATTTCTACATTGTATTTCCATGACAATAATGCCACATATCAATGATACTGATAACAAACATTATGTCATAGAATATTTTTTACATAAAAATGAGTATTTAAAAATGCCAGATGTTTTAGTATAAATAATTTTGGAATTATTCTTAAAATATCTGTCTCACAAAAAAGAAAACAGGAATCTAGGTAAAATCAAAGCACTTTAAAAGGCTACATGGAAGTAAAGATGGCAACACAGGGAGGGATTTCGATGATAAAACCATGACCATAAAGGAAGCAGCCATTAGTTTTAATTGATGGATCTCCCCCAAATGACTGCATGAAGGCGTATTTGAAAGGACCCATGTACCAATGCATTTCTTGCCATCCGTCCCCAGCTTGAAGCCTGCTGTGCAGAAACACACAGCAGTCACGTTGTTGTTGACAGGTACACACAACTGGTCGCAACCACTGCTGTTCTTACTGCATGCATTCTTACGGAAGCCTGTCATGATGATGTAAATGGAAAGAATTTATACATTATTTGGGTAAAAAATACCACAGCAGTGGTATTCAGACAAATATTAGGGTTGGAAGGAGCACTAACAGATTGGTATAATAGGTAAAAACCAAAGAAGAAAGCCAGTTTGAGCTACTTCTAGGATCATTGCTATCCCATAATAATCTGCATTGCCAACAACTGCCATCAATTGTCAACAACCAAATGCACTCACAAGCATTTATCATTATGGGATAGAAATGGAACAAAAATAATGCTCTGCTCAAAGCCAATGTTAAAAAAAGAGTTATGAAAGACAAAGTCCAAATTAGGTATAAAAAGCGGCCATGTGCAAGTGACAGGTGCATGTGCACTTGAACTGACCTTAAAAGCCACAAGAATCCCATGTATTTTGATGTTAATCTTAATACTACAATAATGTTGACAGAAAATACATTATGGATATACAATTTTGTAACACTGAATTGAATAACATTTTTGTGCTACAAAATATATATGCCCCCAATGTATCTTCCTCGATAGATGGATCATCATCAAATATTAAAATACATGTGCATCTTGCATGTGAAAACACCAGGAACACATACACACAGATAAGCCAAAGAAAAAATCAGAGAAAGGTAAACTAGCTATGGTGTATCACCTGTGTCTTCAGAACACACTTGTTTTGTGGGTGAAACAGGCAGACAGAGGCAATCGCAGCCGCCATTTTTAGCTGCACATGGATGGTGTCTGTCAGTGACTTGGTAAAAATTCGATAAGATAACAAAGTTGAAGAGAAAGAATTGGCAAACAACAAAAACTGGTCTCTTGATAGGTGATTAACATGCATTCTGCTGAGTATTAATTGGAATGACAGAACAATGTAGTATAAGAATATATAATAATGGACAGTCTTGTATATATAAATCAGCAGAGAAATGTAAATGCCTAGAAACTACAAATATCAACAGAGAAAAAAATGCCACACATAGCTGGGTTAATATTGGCATTTCTGAGGTCATTCTTTAATCCAACAACTACAATACAAGTTGTAAGTTATGGAAAACTCCTTCAGGCTTTCTGTAATACCTCTAAACACCCATTAGTACACAACATGTTTTCTTTTTTGTTCTGATAGTCATGTAGAGCAAGAGAACATAAATTTGCCTGTAAACAAACAAAAAATGTTTTCATGCAAGAAACTTCGACCCTAATTCTCTTATGAATTTTTTTTATTATCATTAAGAAAAAACTGAATTTATTAAAAAAAAAAAAAGAAGGCCAAAACACTTTATTCAATGTATCCCATACCTCCCAAATAGTATATTACCTGAAAAACAAGTGCTAATTTTGCAAGGGTTTTAAGCACTGGCTGTGCAGTCCATCAAAATATTAACAAAACCTGGCAGCACCCAAAGTTGATTTTAAGTTTCAAATAGCAAGAATCCTCTCATACACTGCAGACCCCATGTTTGTCTGACCAAAATCAGAAGTGTCAAAACCATGTATGGAACCTTAAAACAAGACCTCTCCACTATATTAACCCTCTGTGAGGCAATGCATCTACTAGCAGTATATATACATTTATGTAAATAAATACTGAAAATAAAAGTGCAAAAAATAACAAACAATTTTCTACAAATAAATGACTATATGATGGTCTAAGCCAGCGAATTAACCACGTAGGTTTTTTCAGGTACTGTACAATGCCGACTAAATATGCAGTGTAAAGCAACATAAGCCCTACTGAGTCAAAGATTGCGGTTATTTGGTCACAAAGCAAACAATCTGGGACCCATTTAAATGTTACCATATGTGAGGCTAAAGGCAAGGTGCAATAAATTGTGGGTCACTTAACACAAAATAAATTGTAGTTTCAATTTTATTTGATTAATAACAAACAGTTCCAAATTATGATTTCATAATTTCATTCCCCATAAAAGAAACATATAATATTTAAAATTAAAAAGTTGGTGTTCTTGCACTGGTATATTGACTGACCATGTCAACAAAAGAAAATCTACAGCACTCGAGTTATTTTGACAGATATCAAAATCATAAACCAATTCTTACTAATTATAAAGAGTTAAAACAATCTTTGTTTAATTATCATCACATTAAATTTTGTATAACATTTAATGCTCATTTTTCTTTAAAAAAAAGATCAATTTCTTCCTTTCCAGTATATATTTTCCATTGAACCCTTCGAGTTTCTTATGAAGAATGCTTTACTGATGCAAAATTACTGTTTTCGTGGACATAGATCCCAAAAGAAGGCTGCCAGCAAAAAAGTGTATGTTTAACCGACATTATACAGTTACTGAGACATAATCATGTACAGTCCATAAAATAAATTTTACACATCCTTCTAAACACACACATAACATTTACTAAGTATTCCACACAATTTCAATGTTTGAAAATATATTAAGGAAGTTTTGTTGCTAAAAAAATAACTATCAACACTAAAAACTTAATAACTGGCATTTAATTCATTACACATACAACTTAATACATAAAGCAAGATTTCCAACTTGGAAAAAAAAAAAGACATCAAGCCTTCAAAAGGGAGGATAAAATACTGACCTGTCTTATTCTGCTCTTCATAGATTTTAATAGAAGTCACACTGTGAGTATTTTCTCTCATGGTTTCCACACTGGCATGAGTTCCATTCCTGTGTATTACAGCTATGGATGAGCTAGTGGCAATATACAACTGACCGTGGTGGATGCTCAAGGTTTGAATTTGACTCAAGGTAGCATTATCTGACAGAACTTGTGAGCCTGAACCATCCAAGTTACACCAAATTATCTGTGGTGGTGTGACACCCTTGTTAATAAAGTAAAGCTTCCCGTTGTCAAGGTCCACAGATAGACCTGAAAAAAAAAAGTTAATTTTAATCAATTATGTATTGGACAATTTAAATGTTAATGTTAAAATAGGGTTTCAATCAGATAGTAGTCCCTTTTTGGTAAAATTCTTTTTCAATGTGGCAATGAACAGAATTGACCACACTGAATGTGCTTAATATCAGTTTTTCTAAATTATTCAAAATGATATATAAAATACCCTCTTTTCAATATAATTACATCAAAATAACAAATTCAAACTTACTTTCAGGTTTGGAGATATTGATGTTGGTCTTGTTATTAGGAAGAAGTTGGCGCACATCACTGCCATCCATTTTGGCAACATAAATGGCATGAGAGTTAGGCGAGGTCATGCTTTCTGCCCAGAATATTTGCCTTAAAGAAAAAATATACAGGTGCAACTTGCTATATCTGTATTTATAGAAAGATGAGAAATAAGGGGAAGTATGTGCAGCACATTTTTTCAATACTACCAGAAATTTTCTGAGCATTCCTAAAAATAAATAAAACAACAAATAAAGATTTGTTAAAAAAAAAACAAAAACAAATACAATATAATTCTTATGTATTATGATGTTAATTAAAAATACTAGCCAGACAGATTTTAAAAAGTAAAGATTGATATTTTACGGGTGTATTCCCAGAGCTTTTAGATCGATCTATCCCCGCGGGGAGTCTCACTAGATTACTGTCAGATAATCCGGCTTAAATGTCCGTCCCGCCTACTACAAGCTGTAAGGGGGTAATTAACTTTCATGCCCGCTCGGCTGACAGCTATTTAGCGTGAACCCCCAGGGAGTTAGGTCGATCTAAAGTAGATCGATCTAATCTCTGGAAATGGGGTCTAAGACAAAATCTGACTTTACCCTTGATATGGATGAATAGCAAGAGATTTGATCTGTTTTCTTTTATCTATCAGCTTGCGTCTATATGCCCCATCAAGCTGGCACACCCATATAACTCCATTGCCGCTACTGTACGACCCAAAAAACATGTTACCAGACACATAGTCTATAGCAAAACCATTAGGATTTCTCAAATCTGCAAAACATTAAAATGATATTTGTTATAAGTATACACTGATGGTGTTAGACAGCATCAAATTGATATACATCCTCTCTAAAGCAGATCCCAACAAGCTCCACAAATCACCAAGAAATGGTAAAGATCTTTTATGAGATTATTTTGTACTTTAAGACTAATAAATGAATTAGCACGTATGTCAGTGTGCAATAACATCATAAGGTAGGGTAACAGTTTATGATAGACACAGTATATGATGGACAACTTCTCTTTTCCATTAATATCATTCAAAAACACTTCATACCCAACAATTCTATGAATTCCTACAGAAAGCTCAGCCATGAGATTATTGGTTGTGTTAAATATTTTGGAAATTCAAAAAAATAAATAAATGAATAAATAAATAAATTTAAAAAATAACAATAATAATTTTTTTTCAATAAAAGCACTTTTTACTTCATTGGTAAATATCATATCCCAAGCACAAATATTTCACCATCAGCAATCTCTGATACTCAACCTGTATCAATGATGGTCTCAATGCCTGTCCCATTTATGTTGGCACGGTTAATGAGGTGCAGAGAACTTTCAACCCAATACAGCTTGCCCATTAAAGGGTCAAAGTCCACTACAGTTGGCTTCTCGATATGTGGGACAGTGAAGGCAGGAATGGTGTTATAGTCGGGGTTGTTCAAATACACGCCACGGATCTCGTTGGGACGGGCATAAAGTAGGAATGTACCATTGGCTGGAAGAGCAGGCAATGCACATTACATACAGTCTGAATAAGTCAGAAATATGCCTAAAATATGTAACTTTTAATAAACTAGCCATTTGCCAGAGAACATTTGAAGCCCATAATGACACAAATGCTCACATGACATCTGTATAACTACTGAATCTTATTTTGTATTATGAAAATGGAAAATGGATATTAATCTAAATTAATTATATTGTCTATCCATTTCCCCATGGTGACAAAAGCCACTCAAAATGATGAAACAAACTTCCACACAGGAATTCTAGTACTTTTGAAATGAATGGTATCTTCATATTAATAACCAAAACATTACTTACGTTTACATGTCTTCTTGTCTGGCTGTAAGTAGTAAAGATGAGGACAGAGACAGCCAACAGTTCCATTAAAACTCAACAGGCAAAGATGTGAACAACCGCCATTATTGTCACTACATGGATTCTTGACTGGAAAAAAAAAAAAATACCATGCTAATTATTTAACTCTGTAATGTATAGGTCAAACAAGGTCAAAATTGAAAATAAACAGCTGTGGTATTCATGACAGTGACAGACTAGACTACCAATGACTTCAAGATATGACAACTCTTCATTTTCGCAAGAAAAGTGTCATGATATAACAAATTGTACAGAGTTTATACTTCCGCTTGATAATTAAGTATTCATCTTACACTGGGGTTGTCTCTTAGGATGATAAACGTGGAGGTCAAAGGGCTGAGTGATAGTCCTTTGTATCACGTGGACACTGCTGCCATTAAATTTGTTGGCCTGCAAAAGGACAAAAAAAGAGAAAATGTGAATTTACTTCGTGCTAAATGTAACAGGAATACTAAGAAAATTCAGAGAAAAATTAGTTACACAGTAGGCATACTAGAAGTGGAATGAGCTAGAATGCCATTTGAATGATAATTCTTTCTACATTCCAGTATTCTGAGGGCATTCCAAATATAAAGGGCCATTCTTGTGGTCAGCCTAAATGTTGTAATATTCTCAGGCTCATAACTTTTGAGTGGAGAAATACTGAGTGGCATCCAAAATGTATTCTAACTGCACCATGACTGCATTCTAAATATTCTTATGACACTCCAACATGATTTCAAAGGCTCTGATTGCATTTACGAGAGAAATGAAATTTACCTCCACAAGTGCATTGGTTCTCCAGTCTGTCCAGTAAACTTTGGAGGCAAAAATGGAGACAGCAAATGGATGAGATAAAAAGTCATGTCCTCTTAGCACCTCCCTCAAGTCACTACCATCATACTTCACAGTGTTGATAGAATCTGACCTGGACAGCATAAATATACAATTATTACAGACACCTTGAATAGACGGCACATAAACCTTTACATTCAATTAAGTGCTGTACAAATATTTTACTTTTAGATTACCCTTCAAATATAAAGCACCAAGTCCAAACCTTGTTGTACAATAAGAATATTGACAGTCTATCAAAACTAAGGACTGAAAAGAAACACTTTGAATTTCCAGTTACTAAGTGGCCCAAAGCCTATAAGTTTAGGATGATCAGTAAAATGATGCTGGATTTCGGCAAAGAATCCATAATGTAACATGTATTTTCTGTTTTGCTACCTTGCATCGATCCAGTACACCCTCTTCAAGTCATAGTCCAGGGTCAGTCCATTTGGCCATCCTGCGCCTCTGTATACCATGGTTACATTGACCACAATTCTCCGGCCCTCCCCACTCATAGAACAGCTCTCTATACGAGGCTGGCTGTTGTCCCAGTCAGTCCAGAACAACATGCTGAAATGTTTGAATTGAATGGAAATTATGTTAGGGGAATGTGAAACTAATTCATATACATGTACTTTAAATCCCTGACATCAAATCTGACTAAAAGCAAATAAAAATATTCCAATAAAACAGACCCATATTTGTAGGTCTGTTTACTCACCAAAGAACGTCTCAAGCACTTTGTGAGTAACTTTTCTATCTGATCATTCATATCAATCTCTTTCAGCTTACCCAACACTTGGATCCAAAGCAATGGCTCTTGGACTTTCCATTTTTCCTGCTACTAGGGTGGATCTGTGCTTTCCCTCCAAGGTGGCCACTTCTATCTGGTCTAGATTGCTCTCCACCCAGTATATATTTTCACCAATCCAATCTACAGCCAGGCCCTCTGCTGTGGCAAGTCCAACACTCACGATCTCTTCGATCTGGGTAATAGCTGAAACCAGGCAAGTGTCAAGAAAATAAATTGATGAAGAAGGGGTTAAAAATGAAACTGCAAAATGAATTAAGCTGAAACTCATTTCATCTATCAAAGCAAAAAAATGCAAGATTTGTTTCAGTTTTGATCCTTGATGATTCACTCAGATAATGTTTAATAAAATAACCATTTTACAAGCCAAAGCACATGAAAATATTGATTTGAAGATGGACAAACATGTTCAGTAATTAATCTTAACAAATAATGCTTGATCTTTTACTTCAAACCAAAAATGTTTGCTAAAAATGCCAAGACTATAAGCAGCTTATTCCAATTTTAAATCATGACACGTCTCTCTTCATTTTTGTCATCCATTTCGGTTTATCCTAAATAACATCAACTAAAAGAACTTCATATAGAATACTACATGAATACTTAATATGTTAAGCTAAGTTACACTTACAATTGGTTACCATGACTCCTTTATATATCTTATCATCCACCACATCAGTCCAGAATATGGTGCTGTTCTTGTAGTAATAGTCAAGTGCAATTGTGTTTCTTAGTCCTGATGCCAGAGACACATAGCTCTGTCCATCCAAGTCCAAACGTCTGATCTCATGGCGATTTGAGAAGATAATGTACATAGTTTTGTTATCTGTAAAACAAAAGATAAATATTAAATGATAAATTATCCATCTATAGCAAACTTACTAGAGAGCAAAGCCACAAACTGTCTGTAAATCTATGCTTTTTTTATTCAAATTTTCTTTTAAGTTCATTACACTAATAATGCTTTTTTACTGAAATTTTAATAAACTATCAGTTTTCAACTACCAGATGGTTTACAAGTCCATCCATCCCTGTCCAAGGTATAGCCTTTAAAACAAGAGCACTTGAATCCATCTTTGGTATTGGTGCAGTTTTGACTGCAGGCACCCCAACGCTCACAGGGAAATGCATCTGAAAGTTCAATTGTGTAATATGAAATATTGCTGAAAGGTTTCTTATAAACCAATCTATTTCAAAACATCAACGCTCACAGGGAAATGCACCTGAGAGTTAAATTTTGTAATATGTAATGTGAAATATCGCTGAAGGTTTCTTATAAACCAAGCTATTTCAAAATATCTCTTAAATTTTGAAACATTGAAATTGTTATATGAAAACACATAATGAAAATTTTACAGATTTCCCAGTACAATCAATGAGTCACATACCAGGTAGATCAAAGGTTATGTGTCAGCTTTGTTATCATTATTTTCATGATCAGTCTAGACTTTACCTGAAGGACAATACCAAGCTTATCTACCTGAGCATCTACACTGGTAACCTGATCACACCTGAGCCACTTTGGAGCTCACCTTGATTACAATCAAACTGGACCATATTCATACAACAAAGGATGTAGAGACCAACAGTTTTCATTTCATCACCTTAATCATCATCACAGCTGAAGCCTTAAGTGAAGCCATTTCCGTCTCCTTCTGAATCTCATGCATACTCTTAACTTTTTGTGCACATCACTATAAAAGTTGCAAGTCTAAGGCAAATCCATTACTAGAGACGAAGTTTTTCTCAAAGACAACAGCTCTTGAAATTCTCTCCAATTCACCAACATGGAAAACCATACAAGATTTCTTCATTATGACAGCGACCAGTGGATCAGTGACAGTTTTGACTCGGATGACATTTCTGTTTTTGAAGGTATCACCAATGATGGTATGATAGATAATGTCAAACAAAGCCCTGACTACACTGAAGACCAACTCAAAACCATTTATGTGAAGTTAAACAGGGCATTGCATCAAATTCAACTACTAGACAACTATATCCAGAGTCTCAAACAACGTTACTACAGAGCTACAATGGCTGGTAGTCTTGCATCTTGCTACAGCCTGCGTCTGAAGATCACCACTCTCTTTGGAGTGAAGCAGCTGATCTATGAGTATGCTTTACGTTTGTCTGAAGAAGCTGAGGAAATGCAGAGTTTTCAGTATCTCATGTTTTTTCCTGTACAGTCTGTTTGACTTTAAACTCAAAGGTCCTTTTCAGGACCACCATTTCCTCCACAGAAAAGCTATACTGAATAATTGCATGTTATCAAACATTAATTCAAAATACAATAATATTCATAAAATTTACCTGTGCAGGTAACATTATTTTGCATAATCTTCATACTTGCTGGGCAGGAGCAGACAAACCCATCTGGAGCTCTTGAACAGACATGGGAACAGGGACTGTTTTCACATGTGTCCACATCTGGCAGAAACAAAACAATATACTCAGCTGAGTTTAAGTATAAACTTCACAAAAAAAAATAAATAAATAAAAAAATAAAAAATAATAATAATAATAATAATAATAATAAATAATAAGAATAAAATGATAAAAATAAAGCATGCTGATTTCAGATCTATTAATTAAGTGAATACAGAAAGTGGACTAAATAAGAATGTCAAAGTTATTCATGTTAAGGAGATGAAAAGGTGGTTCATAATACCTTGTGGAGATTTTATTCCCCACACAATTCTCAATTCAGAACACAAAACATTAATTCTGAAATTTAACAGCTAAAATAAAACAAAATAATGTGTATAAATTTACATTTGACCTACCACACAAAGAGTGTTCATCTGATTCATCAGCACAGTCAGCATTGCCATCACATAGTTGTGTGTGCTTGATACAGACAGTGCTGTTATCTTTACAGTGTCTACTGGGATAGGGACAGCGGACTACATTAACTATGGGGAGAAAAATGGGAATTATTTTATTTGCATTTTGTACTGTAAGTATATCATATGTTAAAAAGATCCTTATTCAAATGATAAATTTCACTCGGTAATTTGACACTGTTAGGTAATATCTCCTTACAATGGCATATGTACTTTCAGAAACTCCAACTTAATGTAGTTTCACTGAACAGACATGAGGCCATTTTGCTAATTCAATTCATATTGAGTACCAATATCTTCTATTCTTCGAAGATTTATAGATGTGAACACTGACTGGAATAAGTAGAGAGAGAAGCTTGTCATCAATACCTGTGCAATTCATTTCATCAGAATTGTCCTCACAGTCCCTCTCACCATCACACTTCCAGTCCAGAGGAATACACTTCCGCTCCTTCTGGCACATCATGAAATGTGGATCACAGGTCTGGTTGCTGCCTGAGAGATAAAGAATCATTATTACAGTTACATTTCTTTGTTATTCCACTGAGACAAAGAAATACATTCAAATGATGGGCAATAAGCCTTTTAAAATTTGAACTTTGAAGAACAAATGCTGTGAAATTAGTTAAGTATTGAAATACGATGATTTTTTTTCATTTATGACTAATGTATTAAAAGGGTATGGCCCATAAATTTCATATTGTTTTATATTCCCTGCAAAACATCTTACTGCAGTCGTTTTCTTCATCAGATCCATCTCCACAGTCATCGTCCCCATCACATCTCCAGTGGCGAGGTATGCAGTCGCCATTACCACATAGCCACTCATCTTCATGGTTACAAACGCCAGAAGACATAGCTACAAAATGAAAATCTCTGTTTGGGTGTATAAATTATACTATAAATTATACATTTTTAGTATGTGTGGAAAATAATACCATACATACCCACATTGACTTCCAGTCCAAAAATGAGATGAGTCGGAACTGATACATTTGTATTTTTGTCCTAAACAGAGCCGTGAGATCAATTGATAAGGACCAAAGTACAAACTGTTTTAATTCGATTCCTGACAGACTTTTTAGGTACAAAGACTGGTTCATTTGTTACAGCCATTATATGTTCAGGGCAACAAAAATACATTTTATACAATCAAATATACAACGCTGTCTTCTTGAGGGGTGAAAAATGACCTTGGAATATTTTTCTAACAGTTATCTATCAAGCCTTAAATTAAAACTATTGCAGAACTTACTTGGACAGTTTTCTTCATCTGAGCCATCTCCGCAGTTGTCATCTCTGTCACACTTATACTCCATGTTAACACAGTTGCCATTTTTACACTGGAACTCTGTGTTGTTGGCACATTGGTAAACACAGTCCCACTGGAGAATGTGTGGTAGAGAGAGAAAAAGAGAATTTAAATGCAAAATAAAAAGTGGATAGGACTGAAAAACATCTAGCTTCAGGTTATCTTAAAAATAGACTGTTTACAAAAAATACTAAAATATCACTTCAATTATTCCATTCAATCTATTCCAGTTATCATTTTTATTCAAGACTCTAACAATATTTTATCAAAGGAAAACATATAATAAATTCAGTAAGGAATTAACATAAAACTGAAGATAATCTTAAGAATACCTCATCAGAATTATCTGAGCAGTCATTCTCTCTGTCACACTTAAACAACATGGAGATGCAGCGTTTGTTAGCACATGTGAACTGCTCCAACCCACAAGATGGGTACTCTGAAGGCAAAAAGTGGTTAATCATTTAATACTCTTCTAAATATTAACCACAAAAATTGATTTTTAATAAATTTGCAAGAGGGTATGTGGTGAGAGAAGGTTGAAATCTCTCAATCACTTGATACAACAATAATGTTGACAGTTTTTACTTTGCAGGGAATTATATAACTCCAATAATGTTCATGGAGATAACTACACACAAAACCTAAATTCATGAACATGTGTAAAGTACTATATTTGACTACCTTAACAAATCTTTGTTTTTGAAATTCTGTTCTGTTACCAGTACAGGGAAGGTATTTTGTGGTCCAATTTTGAGTAGAAAATAATTTTCTTACCCAGCAACATATGCAAAAAGAAGTCAAAGACTTTGATGCAAAGTACTGATAAAAAGAATTACCATCAGCACATTCTGGAGGTTCATCAGAATTGTCTCCGCAGTCGTTGTCATGGTCACACCTCCATGTTAGAGGAATACAGCGCTCAGTTTTATTACATTTCATATGATCTCCCTCACATGTTATGTCTGAAAAGATTAATTTTTTTCATATAGCTTTATCAGTTATTGTTTTGCTACATTGGATTGAGGGTATGTAAAGATAAAATTTAAGTTTACTACTAGATGACATAGAAAATGTAAAAAAAAAAGTTTTTGATATTAATGACCAGAATGGGGTATAGATTGTGCACGTAACAATGGGGAAGGGGCATCAGAGGTAGATACTGTAGTTTTTTAATGACGTCAGGGAGATCTTTATTTAGTTTTATCACAAAGCGAATCCCCAGAAACAACATAATATCCTATGCCAATTATACAATAAGCCATAACAGTATTTAATGCAACACACTGTGGCCAGGAAATGTAAATGTATGGTTTAGCTCTTCCAAGATAATTGCACATCAGAGAAAAATTTTTCATACTTTGACAGATGGCGATATTCTCATCCTCTCCAGTCGTACAGTCTTCCTCCCCGTCACACATCCACCGCTGGAATATGCAACGGTTGTCTGAGCACTGGTATTCTTCCTTTTTACATGTATGATGGGCTGAAAAATAAACAAAAAGTAAGAGACTATCCCCAAATAATTCAAAAGAAATGTTTAAAATGAGTTTAAAATGAAATGTCCAGAAAATGGGGTTTAAATCAAACATCTGCACAGAGTAAGTAAATGATTCTTTTTTCTGAAGTGTTGAAGATCATAAAGAACTCAATAAACAACATTGCAGTCAGTCAAAGCCATTACCAAACTTTTGTAGTTAAAACAAACCAGATATCAATTACTACGGTTCAAGCCATCTTCAAATGTTGAATAAAAAATAGTATCAGTAAGAGAAAAGGAAGACAATTGAAAAATTGACAATGTTCAACAGTTTGGCTTGACATCAGTATTTATCTGAACATACCAGTCCAAGTCACCTTACTCACCACATACACCTCCTGCATCTCGTATCTCATCAGAGCCATCGCCACAGTCATCTTCACCATCACACGTCCACTGTTTGGGAATACAGCGGCCATTATGACACTGAAACTGATCTTCTTTACACAGTGGGGGAGGGGTGTACCCTGGGATTTCTGGAAGAGGAATTGGATAACTGTAGCCTTTCAATAAAGCTTTATGTACAGCTGGTCATGGAAATAGGGACAAAGTGAAAATTATTTGAACTTGGAAGAGGACTATGGAACACTTTGTGACAGTTATGACACAGTTATATTTAAGATGTTAATGAGAGCCACTACTGGTTAGGAAGGTTCATATTCTATTCAGCAAATTCCAAATAAAAACTCCGAAAACCTAAAGTTACTCTCAAAGCCTGTTAACAATTTAACAGATACAGTTTGTCCCATTGTGAGACGGATGTAATATAATCTCTGTAATCTCTGGGAGAACTGAGTTAATAACACAGTTAACCACTGGGCCACGGATATCAAACCACAAATGTGGCATTCAGTCAGTATGATATCAAAAGTAAGACTATTACTAGCTTTAAGCTAAACCTGATGTGAACTGGACAAAACAATAGCCACTTTACGCAGAGCTAAAGCAACAGTGATAAAACACAAGTTAAAGGACGTACCTGTGCAATTTGATTTATCAGCTGCTAACTGGAACCCATCCTGGCAAGCACATGTTGGAGCTGCTCCATTTACAGCAAGGCATAACTGAGAGCAGCCGCCATTGTTATTACTGCAAGCCGTACTGCCTGAAGTCAACAAGTAGTACGAATGTAAATTTTATAAAATCAAAATAACATTAGTGATCTCAAATTGTGCTTGTTATTACTGCAAGCCGTACTGCCTGAAGTCAACAAGTAGTACGAATGTAAATTTTATAAAATCAAAATAACATTAGTGATCTCAAATTGTGCTTGTGGTCTGTACACAAGATGAACTACCTATGCCTTTATCTCAAGTCTCAAAAGTACTCATAAGTAACCAGGTTTATCCATGACACTCATAATGTTTGAGCAATGTGTTTTTGTGTCCACCATTTCACTTTGTTATCTGTCAAATATCTTTCTGATTACATTGCAGTGGCATCTAATTGCAATATTCAAAGAATAATTTTCTGAATAAATTTTCAATAAAATTCTAAAAATATGACTGAAAATAGTATGTATAACNGGGAAATAGGGACAAAGTGAAAATTATTTGAACTTGGAAGAGGACTATGGAACACTTTGTGACAGTTATGACACAGTTATATTTAAGATGTTAATGAGAGCCACTACTGGTTAGGAAGGTTCATATTCTATTCAGCAAATTCCAAATAAAAACTCCAAAAACCTAAAGTTACTCTCAAAGCCTGTTAACAATTTAACAGATACAGCTTGTCCCATTGTGAGACGGATGTAATATAATCTCTGTAATCTCTGGGAGAACTGAGTTAATAACACAGTTAACCACTGGGCCACGGATATCAAACCACAAATGTGGCATTCAGTCAGTATGATATCAAAAGTAAGACTATTACTAGCTTTAAGCTAAACCTGATGTGAACTGGACAATACAATAACCACTTTACGCAGAGCTAAAGCAACAGTGATAAAACACAAGTTAAAGGACGTACCTGTGCAATTTGATTTATCAGCTGCTAACTGGAACCCATCCTGGCAAGCACATGTTGGAGCTGCTCCATTTACAGCAAGGCATAACTGAGAGCAGCCGCCATTGTTATTACTGCAAGCCGTACTGCCTGAAGTCAACAAGTAGTACGAATGTAAATTTTATAAAATCAAAATAACATTAGTGATCTCAAATTGTGCTTGTTATTACTGCAAGCCGTACTGCCTGAAGTCAACAAGTAGTACGAATGTAAATTTTATAAAATCAAAATAACATTAGTGATCTCAAATTGTGCTTGTGGTCTGTACACAAGATGAACTACCTATGCCTTTATCTCAAGTCTCAAAAGTACTCATAAGTAACCAGGTTTATCCATGACACTCATAATGTTTGAGCAATGTGTTTTTGTGTCCACCATTTCACTTTGTTATCTGTCAAATATCTTTCTGATTACATTGCAGTGGCATCTAATTGCAATATTCAAAGAATAATTTTCTGAATAAATTTTCAATAAAATTTTTAAAANGTTATTACTGCAAGCCGTACTGCCTGAAGTCAACAAGTAGTACGAATGTAAATTTTATAAAATCAAAATAACATTAGTGATCTCAAATTGTGCTTGTGGTCTGTACACAAGATGAACTACCTATGCCTTTATCTCAAGTCTCAAAAGTACTCATAAGTAACCAGGTTTATCCATGACACTCATAATGTTTGAGCAATGTGTTTTTGTGTCCACCATTTCACTTTGTTATCTGTCAAATATCTTTCTGATTACATTGCAGTGGCATCTAATTGCAATATTCAAAGAATAATTTTCTGAATAAATTTTCAATAAAATTCTAAAAATATGACTGAAAATAGTATGTATAACAAAATAAATTGAATAATTCTAAATAATTGTTAGTAATTTCACTCAGTCTAACATAGTACACCATTCATGAATGTGCCAGTAAATGATATGAAGCAAAACACAATACATCTTAATTGCAAAATGAACGTCTTACTATTTTGTGTGGAGGCATCATACAAAGACATTCCAAATACTGGCGCCCCATCATTAGCCACCACAGTGGTCTCATTGGCCACACTGTTATATCGTTTGATCTGGCCAGTGGATAACTCTGTCCAGTAAATATCATCCTGGTGAACTACAAGACCATATGGATATTTCATCCCTTTATGACCTCCAACCATCAACTGATAAAAAAACACAATAATAAAGTAAATAAAATTTGTGTTGACTTATAATAAAGGAATTATTTAAGTAATATTGTGTAGCCAATCTAGATTCCATAGCACAAATGTCCTTAAAATGGAAAACTTTTAAAAATATATTACTTGAAAATGAAAAAAACTTTTAAAAAATTCTTATTAATGAGTACAAGTGCCAACCTCTCTGTTGTTCCCATTATAATCCATACGCTCTATGCGGTCATAGTGAGCATCTATCCAGTATACTTTCTTCTGCACACGATCCAGAAATAAGGAGTTAGACCACTGAATGTAGTCAGACACCAGAACTTTCCGTCCACTGCCATCCATGTTGGCACGCTCTATCTTGGCCCTTTTTCCATCCTGGGGGTTCTGGACAAGATCTGACCAAAACATAAATCTGGAAAGGCCAAATTTGATGCCCTTCAGTGAAGAATATAATTTGATAAAATATCCCAAGTCTCAAAGATTGAAAAAAAAAAATAATAATCCTTGTAAAAAAGTACAATTTTGCCCTTTAAATATCTGGACTAGCTCTAACACAATCTACATTTTGGCCAGATACCTGAAAAAAAATTGCAAATCAATTTTTGAATAAGCAATATCACACCATTTACATTATCTTAACCCAAAGTGAGGTTCTCAATTTGTACCCAAAATTCATCTTACCCTTCTACTGGATCTACCACAACATCTCTCAGGGCTGACATGTTGCCAGAGACCAAAGTCTTGTTGATTTCTGGTTTCTCTATTTTTGCCACCATGATAGCCTTCCTTCCATCATCTCCCCAGAAGATATTGTTTCCTGTCCAATCTACAGCTATTCCCTGGACTTTGTTGATATCTGAAATTTTTCAACAATTTAATGTTGAGATATGAGATATTTTTACATTCCAGTTGTTTGATTCACTTGCCAAATTATGTATGAAAGATTTCCGTTTCAAATCCATGTAAAAAAACAGTTATAAAAAACAGTTTATTTTTTTATGAGAAATAATATTAAAATCTTTATCCAAATGACAATATATGTTGTATTGGTATGCTGAGAGACATACTTACTGCTCACAGACCAAGAGTCAAGAGTTGTTTTCCCAACATCACGCCTTCCTATCCTAAATGCAATAGGGTCAGAGAAGTAGATCTTCTTGGATGCAGCATGAAAGTCCACATACATAGGTCTGTGTAGATTGTGAATTGGGGGAATGACCTGCTGGGATGTCCCTCCCCTATTCATTTCTATTCCCTTTACAAATCCTTGCTGACCATTTGCGTACAGAATGAAAGGATATGAGATATTCACTGTAAAAAATATATTGAAAATGTTGTTAAAGGCAAAACTGTAACTTTTTAAACTACCGAAATACAAATGAAATTCTTGTTGTTAATACATTGAATACAGGCATCTTTCTCCAATGGAACCTGAAGAAAAGGTTATAATAGTCAGTCACATCCCTAGAACAAGACCTCAGTTAGGTTTATGGCTTGTGCACCAATTTTTTTTTCAAGTAAAGATCAAAACAATAAGAAAATAACTGCTAAACATCATCTTATAAAAAGTTCCGATAATACACTAGGGTAAAATACATACATATGCATCTCATTCCATCTGGCTGCAACTGATATCCTTCTTTACACATGCATTGTTTCTTCCCTGTTCCCTTGACAATACACAAGTGTTGGCAACCACCATTAGAGGATGAGCAGTCATGGCCAGGGTCTGAAAATTTATGGACGAATATCACTACAATGACCACATGATCTAAAAGATTGAAAATAGAACTTCTGATGACACTATTTCTTAAAAATTTCAAATTTAACTTCTGATGACACTGTTAACTATAAATTCCTATCAGATTTGAATGCTCAATTTTTTGTATACATTGAAATTTAAAACAAAAANCTCTGTAAATATAAAGCCAAAAAGTAAAACTGCCTTCCACTTATCGTGTTTACAAGGAAAGTGCACGGCGACGGCATCGGCATCGGCGACGGCGACGACAGACGCAGGTGATGGCAATATGTACAGACACATCTGTGTCTGTACATAAAAAGGAAATTGTTAGTACCTTCAGGTTGGCTGAGTTCATGATACACACGGATGACGCCTGGTTTGGTAAGATTACCCACAACTGTCTTGGGTTTATTGTCTGTATCCCATAGTTTTATCACTCTGTTAAATGCCAGGACGCTCCTGTTGTGATGACTTGTAGTGTAGATTGTATTTTCAAATACTGTTAAACCAAATATATGTTCAACCTGTAAAAATAATAAACATTTTAAATTGTCTTAAGTTATCATAAATTTAGATAAATTCTCTATAGCATAAATTATAATTTTTCAAACTTTTCATATCAAAAGAATTAAAATGTTCTTGGAGCTTAGCCAAGTAGCTATAGCAGGTGCACTAAGAAATTTTTCATTAAGAAATATCTATAAAGCTCTCTAGACCTCATTTTGAACTGTTGTTAATTTAACTCTCCTTTTCACAAAAGTTTTTAGATACAACCTGAATTTAGATTCATTAATGCATTTTCCTTACATTGTTCCCATAAATAATAAGCCTCCTAGAGGCAGGAGTTCCAGAATAGTCAATTCTTTCTATGACATTCAGGTAGGAGTCACACCAGAAGACATGTTGGCGGTTGTGGTCAATGGCAATGGCTTGTGGACGGACTATTTTCTTGTCAACAATTATTTTACTATTCTCCCCTGTCATGTCATATCTTATAATGGATGGCCTCTCTCCCCATTCTCCAAGAAAAATATACCTTCAAGATAAAAATTGATGGTAAAATAGATAAATGAGGACTGCAAACAGAAAATGACCCATTTAATGTTGGAAAACCAACCCTTAGTCTTCATCTCTATTTGGATGTTGCCTTGTTTAAACTAAATGTAACACTAAATGTAATGGCAGAATGCACTGTAAAAGCAGAGTGAGTAGGAAGTCACCAAGTTTGAAAAAAAAAAAAAAACACTATTTTTGAGTATCTTACATAACACGCAGGAATGGAATCTCTCAAGAAGAGGAATTTGTTCAAAATATAACATTTTCATCACTTAAGTATACATAATTATATTTACCCTTTGGCGGGGTCTATTGCAAGTGCCTTGGGTCGCTTCACTTCAGTGTTGATGATAGTTCGACATGCCTCTCCAGTAGCATTGCATACAAACACCATTGCACGTTTGTCATCACTAAAGTACCAATTGCCAGAGATTGAGTCCTTGGCTACTTGTTTCACATCTTAAAAAATAGATGTGTATAAACAGAATGAAAGATTAATTATTTAGGTGAAGAATAACATCATTTCAAAACTCAATGCAAAATAGTCCGAAAGCAATTAATAATGTTTTAGTTAATTAAGGCATTTCAACAACTCAATTGTCTTAGGTAAAAAATGAAGGACTAAAAAATGTCAGGTTAAAGAAGAATAATGTAGCTCAGAGGTATCAAAATGGAAATGAGAAATAAAAACCACATGAACTAATAATAAATAAATTAAATTAATAAATCTAGAGATCAAAATGTTTTAATTCAGGATACAAGGATTAAAGTTTGTTTACAGAACACAGCACAAAGGATCATGAACATAATAATAAAAATACTAAAACAATCAGGAAATGAACTTACTACTCAAGGAATACTGCATGGGTATATCCCATGTGACAGAGGGATCTTGGTTTAATTTGGCACACCTGAGATTAAATAAATTACTCAACACATCAGCCCTGACCTGAAAAGGAGATTACGAAATAATGACAGAAAAAAAAACAAATAATAAAAAACAATAAATGTTTAAAAAAATCAACATAAAAAGGAAGCAAGGGGGAAATAACCCTGCCCCCTCCCAATCTTAACATAATTTAGTGTGACTGCTAATACACTGCTAGTTATGAATCAGCTGAACTATATGCATATCGACATATCTTTTTGAGCAAATTTGAGTCCAATGAGCCAATTTCTCATATTTGTATCCCAGCCAATGCCTTACCCAACAAACAGTCTGGTTCCTCAGGTCCAGATCCAGAGATACAACTTTAGATGCATTGATTAGGTAGGGGACATTCCTCAGCATCCTTTGAGAGCCATTTGTCCAGGTCTGTTCTATCCCATAATGTGTACTGAACAAAAGGGTGGGTTCACGCTCCCCTGGAGATAATGTAAAATCTGTCATGTCAAGATATGCTTGCGTGGGTTACCAATCACCCATTTGATATAAATAAAGAGATTTTATAACTAAGGTCATTTGATCTGTAACTGGTCACTGGACAAGTGAAATATATATATATATATATATATATATATATATATATATATATATATATATATATATATATATATATATATATATATATATAACCTATTACTGGAAATATTTGTGTGTATATACAATACGATAAGAGAATTCAAGAGTCCTTACTATTGGTAACCCTGCAAGTCCCCCTTCCTTCCAACCTGTAGCCTCTGGCACAATCACACGTATAGTTACCCTCTGTGTTCTTACAGATCTGATCACAGTAAAAGTCAAACTGACATTCATTCAAATCTGAAAATATAAAATATAACACGTGCCTTTCTCTCAGAAATCTGAGAATATGCAAGATTGAGAAAATGGTATTTTAGAAATATTTGTTCAGCATTTGATGACCTGTACAGATAAGTTAAAAGTGTATTATTTGAAAAGACTTGAAAGAAGCCCTTTTCTATCTTTATATCTTGGGAATTAGAACAAGTTATGAACATGAATGGATATTTTGACAATACACCAAGCTTTATTCTTATTAACAGACCACATCATATCCTAACCTCAAGTATTATGAACATACCGAGTCCTGAGTTAACTAATAACCAGCAAACTGGGTTCTAATTTTTGTACTTACCAACGCAGGTTCCATTCTGTAGGTAGTACCCTTCCCTGCAAAAACAGAAGACCCCTTCCTCTTGCGGACTGCCCTTGTGAGCCTCTTTGCACAGCATATTAGGTTGCCTACAGGTTGAGAGGCATTTTCTGGAAGCTGAAAAGAGTTTGGAGTACATTGTATACATGATATTTAATCTTTATTACACCAAACCATCCATCTATCCATTTACTCTTCATTTACTCTTACAAGATGCTGCAGTGAAAATAATTAAAATTCTTCCACATTAAATGAATCAAAATATACAGTTTATTCAAAATGAAATTGATACTTTTTGTTCACAATAATGTATTCAGCCAGAATTCCAACCAATTAAAGATAACTTGTTGACTCTGCATTTATGACTTACAACAATGTGGACCCTCATCTATTGCATCTTCACAATCAGCAATGCCATCACACAGCTGTGTGGCATTTATACATCTACTTGTGCCTGGACATTGGTATAAGTTTAAATGCTGCAAACATGTCTCTGCAAGCTCTATGATGCCTGGAGAAAAAACAAGGAAGAGAAAAACATGATATTCGTATTACCTTTCATTTCATGCTTAAGAAAAATATTCCTTTTACACATTTTATTGTTTTATAATGAAAGCTATCAGGTCTTAAGAACACGAATGTCAATAAATATTCTCTCAGAAAAAAAGTTGTCATTACAGTATTAAGTAGATCCTAGCAGTTCTTTCTCAGAAAATGTCTGTAAAAGAAGTTTCCAAACAGGCATTTATTTAAAAAAACTGAAAACTGTAAGTGATGGAATAGGTTTCATAAGGGTATACTACAGAATGCTACTGTCACACAAAGTACTCACCAGAGCCAGCATAACCCGGTGACACACGTTTGTGGGTTTGACCTGAAACAAGCAATAGGAAATGAGCAACCAAAAAACCTTGTTCCCACAGCCTTGCAAATAACACGAATTGTTTATAAATTTCCTAACCTACTGTTCACACAGAGGGAATGTAGATATACTTTTAGATACATTTTCATTAAGAAACCATATCAGCTGGTAAGTTCACTAAAGACACATACAAGGATTTTTTTAAATATAGTAAAAACTAAATTAATGAAAATCGTTCATGACTAAACAATTTCCAATCAAGATATATTTTCCAGTTTAAATTTTCCAAGGCAAAAAAAAAATGTATCCATTGGCATTGTTACTAAGGTCCTAAATGAGAAATGGCAAACATAAATCATGTCAAAACCAAAACTACACAAATTACATGCTGTCTGTATAAACATTCAACTCTTTCTCTTATATGCCATTCAAAGTGTTGCTTAAAAGCCAAGATCACATCTCCATTGTTATTGTGTGAGAGCACTTGTTGCTCCCAGGGCAGTATTATGATTTCATTCCCTCAAAACATAGCAGAAATGGATCTTGCCTTGAAGGGAACAAAACTAATAGAAAGTAAAACATGATAACATTCCAAAAGTCTGGAAAACTGCAAATGTTTTGTTATCTAATACTTAAACCATGTCCCACCCTTTACCACTTGACAGAGTGCACTCAGTAAGGTTTTTCTACCTGCCAGGACAGATTCCAGCTGATGGCATTACTAGCATTGATAAGCTCTAATGCAGGCATTGATAAAGTATAAATTGGTAAAAACATAATTATGATGACAGTTAAATATGTGTCCAAATTACATAAGGTGACAAAAAAAAAAAAAAAAAAAAAAAAAAAAAAAATTCACACCTTATGTCTTTCAAGGAGATTTGCAATAAGTTGAAGTTATTCCCATCTTATTCACCAGGAGGTTTCACGTTTTTCAGGTTTTAAAATTATAATTTGCTTGTTTTAACCTTTTTGGATTTCATAAATCCAAATGGCTTTTGGTAAAACCAAAAAGTTTCAACCAAATGACAGAGAGGGGGGATTTTAAGTTATAAGCCCCAATCAGACTGGAACTAATTTCCACTGGAAATTGATTTAAATTAGTTCAGGGTACCTAATTAAAGAGGGGCCAAATTACACCTTAAACAAATTATCTGTAAATGTTCTCAAGTCCATTTTTCAGTTTTTTTAAAGTCTGTCTCTTTCATGTCATTTAGTCACTGTAATCTTTTGTGACAGGCTGGTTAGTGAGATGCGAGGAGGACATGCAGGTCAAAAGAAAAAACATGTTCTTCCAAGTGGCAAAAATGCACTGCTTTAACACATGGGCTTCTAAAAATAATTCCTTAGGTCTAATGCATGATTTAAGGATTGTAGTCACTGCTTGGTATGGCAATTGAGTTGAAATAAATGCTCTGACAAAATTACTTTCCCTGTTCTTTTTTTATCTAGCTCTTTGTACAGTGAAGCCTCTGTTGACCTTAGAAAATAGTAAAAGAACAATTCCTTCATGACCTTAGAAAATAGTAAAAGAACAATTCCTTCATGACCTGCATGGATGCTAAATATGCAACTGATAACAGCTACAAATATCAAGGACAACTCCCAAGACAGTACTTAAAGACATATGAAAGCTCCAACTTTCTTAGAAAACATTTTCAGATTCAGACCATTAAGTTTAATTCTGTTGAGAGATGATAGCTATCCAATTTGCAGAAGCACACAGTCCATTGTGGTCAAGACCTGTAGAAATTATCAGCTGACAAATAGATTGTAGTGACTGCACTCTAATAACATTTGTAACCTTTGGCTCTATCAACTGCTTTCTAATATATTTTTTGTGGGTCAATATTTCATTTTGGTGGCTAGAAATGCCATCTCAGTTAAAAAAAAGTCAAATACATCTCTTGACAGCTTCAGCCTTTGACAACAGGTCTTTATAACTGAAGTCTACTGGCAACTACCAGTGTATAGGTATGGGTACAAATAGCAAAATGCTGCATGATACATATGGAGCTGTAAGCATAGACTCTTCAGACTCTTCTGCAAGATTTTCCTATCTTTTTACAGTTTGCTGTGTCTTCCACATAGTCAAACCTCACAATAGTGGACATTTAGCTTTAAAAAAGCAGGCTCTAGGAATAACAGACCTTAGGAACACAGAAGCAGCCCTTCACATATACTTACATGTTTCTATTGATTCATCTGAGCCATCTCCACAGTCTCTCTCACCATCACACTTCCAACCATTTGGAATACACAGCTTGTCCTTACATGTAAATTTGTTAGCAGGACAAGTAGGTGGCATAGCTGTAAAAGAAATCCAGGGTTAATCAGGAACAGAGCAAGGCAGAGGGTATGGGGAAATTACAAGTAAGAAGGCCACAATAAAACAGAAATACCCTTCATTGTAGGAATACATCATTGTATGGTTTACTTAAAGCCATAATTGTCTTTCCTTTAAAGACGTATTGGTTAAGAAAAAAAAAAAGAAAAAAAAAAACAATATTAATGTCTTCCTCATCAATCTGTAATTAAATAAATATTCTATGGTAGTCTTGACAACCTAGGTACGACTTGTTTTGCAATGACTTATACCTTACTTTGAAATTGAAACTAAAATAAAATTAAAAATGCATGTGCAAAAATGCTGGAGATTGGACTGTCACAGGACACACTTGTAAAAAAGTGTAGAAACTTTTAAGGAAAATTTTCAGCAAACAGACACTTCAAGATAAGTTTATGTCTGCTTAATTGTATTTTGATTTGGTTAATAAGTAAGCCACTATAAATAAATAGTTAAATTGTGAATTGTGTTTTTGATTGTGCTGGCATTTTTGGGTATTCTGACCCATACAAGACATTGTAAAAGCCTGTCTTGACTATAGTGCTTTCCCTCTTTACACATTGTAAAAAGAGACAGCATAAGGAACTCATTCCCATGTCACTGCCATTACAAAGAAAAACCCAATTATTTCTTTAAAAATCCAGGACAGAAGCATCAGGTGATAACTTACAGCAATTCCTCTCATCTCTTCCATCTGGACAGTCAAAGTCTCCATCACAAACCCATCCATGGGGGATACAGTGATGCCCTGCCCCAAAATTTTTCTCACAGTTAAAGGAGTCGGGGGCACAACTTGCTGACCCAGAGGAGGCTGCAAAAGAAATATGAAACTGAAAATAACTTAGCTTTAAAATATTCCAAGGGCATACTCCTTGAGATGAAGTTTGAGAAATCACAAACACACTTGATTTCTCATAATATACAATTCAAAGGCATTTTAATGACAGATTACAAAGGACTCCATGCTGTGTTCCAAATGGGTTTTCCCTGGCTTCATGCTGGGTTTCATCTTTTTTTTAAAGTCATGTTTGCCATTTCTTTCCTTTTTTTTAACTAATTAGAAAACTGAAAAATTTAATCAAAAGGTTGTCATATATCAAACAATTATTTATCATTTTAGGCATTATAAAGAAATACTTGGAACCATGTTACTTTTTAATAAAATTTCCTTCTCTCATGCATACACAAACAAGTTCTAAAAAATTAATGAATGAAATCTCTTGACCCTGATGCATGCCGAGTGCCATAAGACACCCTCTCACCAATACCAGAATAGTTTGCTTTTTCACACCCTGTCAACTCTGTTAAGACCTACTTCACAGTTCATTCTGCCACAGCGCAATGGTCCTCATTCTAAAATACATCAGTTCCTTGCTACAAAACACACTGCCAAGCACCAGTAATCAGGAAGGTGTCAATACAACCACAGCACACCTTGGATTAACATACCCCGCTGCTGCTAAATCTAACAATTATTCACTGTGTTGTAAACAAGGACTGGATTTTTTTATCCATTCTACAGGCAGATTTTAAAAACAGAAAATTTGTGTACCTGCATGGACATTTCATCAAACCACTTTTATCAAGGTTATTTTGAATGGGGCTTGCTTTCAAAATGCACCACATTTCATCACTTTTTTTTCAGGAAGAATGACAATCCATTCAACAATTCATAAGTTACTTAAGATTTCAAAAACACAAAGGCAACTGAAATGTATAACAAATCCATCTCCAATCTTCAGAAAATAATATATTACATCATGACTATTGAAAATTGCTTTTTCAATGTAAAAAGAACAAAATGAAAAAAGGTGTAACTGAATGGATTATTCAGTATCAAGATCTGTGGAGAATGCAGTAATTTCGTGGAGAGCAGATATCCAAGAAAAGTACGAGATTAAGATATCAAAAAATTGATCTCAAATCAATATTTTAAATCTCACATGAAGATTTTACTGTCACATGTGGCATAAAAGCCTTTTACTTCTTTTGCAATGGTCTTAAATTCATAAAAACAAAATGCATAGCATGGTACAGTGAACCTAGACTCCCCAGCAGACATGACGACCAAGCCAACAGAATGGAAAATCTCTCAGCAATGTCATGTAATGGTTGAGTGCCATTCTGACAGGTGGTTGTGCTGTCACAGCTCTTCAATTTAGTCAGAGATGTCTGTTTTGTCTATTCAGGAAATAATGGCAACCATATTGTCTATTCAGCAAAATGATTGACCTATCAGTACTTACTGAAAAAAAATGTCATCAATACTACCTTTTCAATGAATGCACGCAAATATTTTTAGTGTGCTGAACAATTCCTTTCTGCTTGTAATTTGTCAAGGAAAAACGTCCCCTACGGCTGATTCATTATTTTTAACAGGCAAAGGTAGTTGGCTGAACTTTTTCTTAGTACAGACTATATCAGTTACAATGTTATTCACTCATACCAAAATCTTACATTATTTTTTCAAATTGAAATTATCCTAAAAATGTAAAAACAAACTATAACCCCATTAAAAATGTCTTCTACATCATGTTTTATAGCAAATCCAAAACTGCTGACAGTTGAATAATTTATTCAGGTGGTAAAATACACTGTAAGTGGGAGAAGGCATGTGTTGAGTGATAACAGTACAAAAGAGAGAAAATATTAAACAAATTCTCATTTCCTTGCACTTACAGTGCTGAACAGAATAAGCCACCATGACCATCACATCATCCTCTTAAACATGTTATAATGATAATAACCCAAAAACCTTTTTTAATCAACCTGACAGTCTGTGTAGCTTATCTAATACCCCGTTCACACTACGCTCAGTTATCCGGATTAGTTGCGAATTAGGTCACAATTCGAATAAATGCAGTAGTGTGAACGCAAGCGGATTTTGAAAATGCGCATTTTCAAAATCCTGCAAGCGAGGTGGATTTCTAAGCGCGATCCGGATAACTTACCGGAATCGACACCTGTACAGAACTTACTGCGCATGTGTGCAGATAAGTGCGGGTATCTATGAACGCTGGTTTATTACTTTAGCGATTGCACCAAACGTATTTGGAGGTCACCACTCACTACAACATGAGGTAACAAACTTATTTTGCCACCTTATACTTCTCAAGAATGCTGGAATGTCTTTTGAGTTGCATTTGTCGTCACAAAATTTTGTTGATATTTTAAGATTTCCTGTGCGGCGCATGCGCGAGTGTTCAAAACAGGAAGTTAAACCTGAAATTTTCAACGTGGGATTCGGATTCGCTCAGCGAGTGTGAACGCAATACCAAATCGGATTCCTTACGAAAAATCCGAATTATAGAAATGCGCATTTTGGCAACTGTAGTGTGAACGGGGTATAAGTTACACCAATCAAAGGAAGTAGCAACAGACCTTTATATCCAAGCAACTTGCCCAGGTACTTTTCTTTTGTTTTAGAAAAACAATTCCCAAACAAAAGCAAACTCCATGAAATCACCAGAGGGTACATGCACAATCTTGTAAGCCGCATGGTCCCATTGAAATCTTCTTACAGTGAATAACACTACAAAGACAAGCTGGACACACTGGACTGATGCATTCTAGGGAACATCAAAATGCACTGCCAACTTGGTTCTAGACCATTCCTTACTGAGCTCATCTGTTAACTAGCTATCATGTACATCTGGTATTCCATTGAAATGGTCAATTAAACTTGGTGCATACTTTCTACACATGTACTAGCCACCACATACATGACCATGGAACAGCTGTCTGGGTGGATTACAGCATCATCACTGGAGAGATGTAATTTCAGGTATCACTTCCTATTTTTTCTCTGACATGATACATATACCCATCAACCGCCCATCCCTGCCCCCCCTTTAGATTATATGTGATATAGCACCTCTAGTCAATGTATAGTATACTCAGAATGAAATATGAATGAATATATAAATTTTAGCGTAGAAGGGGTGGGAGGAATGGAAATTACATACTAGTATTTGAGTTAGCCCTGAGTGTACCGACATCATGTAAAATCAAGCGAAAGTTTGTAGGATTTGGAGGAAATGAGGGAACTGCCCATGTTTTGGTCACCTTTTATATGGGTCTCTCGATATATAACCAGAGGTTAAGGAGGAGACAGAGAGGAAGAAGAAAAAGAAGAAACCTGTGATTTTATAGCAATTATGAGGGCCTACTTTTAGTTTTACAACCCAACTTACTGGAGGGTGCAAAAAACTTATATTAAAAAAAATGCAATACTTAGGTTAATTCCCATAAACACCATGGGTCTACATGGATCGACCCAACCCTACAGGGATTCTTGCTGAGTGCAATCAGCTTACCAGATTAACACACATCCTCCTCCATTAAGTAAGACATAGAAAAGCTGGTGATTATAAGAGTAAGTTGGAAACAAAAGGAAGCAAGTCATGCAATTCAGCTGTCCGAGTGCTCTTAGCGAAAGTCCTCACAAAGTTGGGTCGTCCACATAGACTGATGGTGACTGCGTGAGAAAGGAGTCATAGACTTGGTAAGCATGCAGATGTTCTTTCTATCAAATGAGCTTGATAAAATATCATTAATTGAGAAACCTTCTGACTGATACAATATCAATCTGGGAGATTAACCATGACCTTCACAACATTGCATGACGTAAAGTGATGAAGGAAAAAAGATACAAAAACTACTGCTTTACAGAAAACACTTTTCATTCAGAAACACAATTAACCTATTCACACTGCGTAATAAATTCTGGTGGGCCCATAGTATGACATAATAAAACACTATTGCAGCATGCAGGTAAGGCGTGATGCAGTGAAGAGGAGAAAGGGTATTTTGAGATGAAGGCATCACAGATGTTGTTTAGGGTGTTTAAACAACAAAAACTACACTCATGCACTTCTTAGTCTTTGAATGAGTCTAAAACACAAATAGTTCAAAGTACTAGAATTGAAGTGAATAATGAGTTGATTTCAACCTTGAATCTTTGCTGTCAAACTTGGCTAATATGATTAGGGAATCAAGAATAATTTAGCCTTTTATGCTCTACTGTGCTCTAAGAATATAGCATGATAAAAAAGCAATCAACCAGGGTGACTTTCCAACCACATGAACTAACAACATTCCATACAAAAGGAAAGAAACTGCATGTTTTTATATTTTGACTGCATCTCTCATATATTATTATGACCATTGTGGGGGAAATAAAAAAAAACTTTTAAAACAAGCAAACACATTGATTTCATTCTAAGAAAAATAAATATTTGTAAGCATGAAAGAAATTCAACAAATTCCATCCTATGTTTCAACCATGCTAAAGGAAAAAATGTATCAAAAAGACCTGCAAAGAAATATATAATGACAAAGCAAGAATTTCAGGTCAACACTTCAGGGTCATGTTATCCCACTAAGTGCCACCTTTGTGTAATAAAATCGCACCCAAATGCATCCATGGTCTTTTTTTGTCTTCTAATAAAATCACCCTATCATATCAGTATATGCATGAGAGAGGGAATGCAGGAATTTGAGTTTGAGGAAGGGTACCCCTATCAAGAGGTAACATTTTGGAGCTGAGAAAGGAAAGAACACAGGTGTATGATTGAGGTTAATGGTTCACAGTGCCACCAATGTCAATGTAAAAAGACAAACAGTGACTCAGCCAACACGAGCATATTCTACTCTTCCAACTTTCAAAGATCTCTCAAACAATAAAACATTCAAACTTAGGCTATGCTATCAATCTTAAGCGTTATTACTCCATTAACAGCTGTAACATTATAGTGAAACACTATGAAATACTGAAGATGTGTCGAAATCGTCATAATGTTAGCAACCTTG